CACACACGGAATACAAACGCTTGAGCCCGCGGATCTGGATCTCGTATCAGTGCATATGCGTGTAACAACCCGAAGGGTCCCCCCCCTCCCGGCGGCACCGCTGCACCAGTGACAATCGGCGCCGCTCTTGGCAATGCCGGCACGCATCCCCCCCCTGGCTGCCGGTCGGGGTGGGTTCATCTAACGAGAACAAGAAAGGGTACCTGTACCGCAGCCTGGAAGCTTGGGGGATAGGTGCCCAATGAGGGAGCTGTCACCCCGTCGTCGGGCGCCGCTCGGGTTTTGTGGGTGCCCGCCAGGGCCAAGTGGGATCTACCTCGTGGGACGAAGGACAAGTTTAGCGGGTGCAAGAACGTGGAGAGAGCATGTCAGCGTTGCGCGCTTGCACATCCTGGACAGAACTATTCCCTGTTGTCATACGTACTAGTGGAAGAAGGGAGCCCGTCGTTTTTGCTTCCGTCCCGACACTACTTGTGCTGGCGAAGGCCCCCCTCCCCCCCTTCTCCCTCCTCATCAAGGCCGGTCGCAGGCTGGGCTGCAGTGGCGCCCGTTGTGACGGCGGGATGGATGGGTGGCCCGCGGGGGGGCTGTCTATCCGGTGGATCGTTTCCACAGAGGGCCTGGGCTGACCTGGCATGCGCTCTGTTGGGTTGTTTGCGGGACAGCGGGAGTAGAGAGAGGGAGAGTGTGAGGGGGAGTGGCGGCCACCAAGAGTCGGGGAAAGCGGGTAGACGGACGGCGGGGACGAGGAGGTGCCTGTGCAGGTGAATGCAATGCAGTGCGTTGCTGGGATGGGGCACAAGCAGGCACCAGGAGATCAAGGCACTACCAGACAAGCACGGTCGATTTGCATACTCGAGTCAGTCGCGGCATCATAGATGCGCTCCCGTTTCTCCTGGGTGCCCGTTTCCTGACGTGGGAGGCATTCGGAAGCGGCTTACAGTACGATGTACGTTAGGGGGCGACTGGATGGTCGGCGCTAGATCCCTTGATAGGCCTAGGGGGTCATCGAATGTGGATCGACGGAGACAAGGTCGGGTCGCATGCGAAGCGGGTTGCCGTGCCTCTGTTCCTGGATAGGCCGATGACTGACGACTGCAAAGTGGCCGAGAGGTGCTGAGAAAGACAGCTGTCAGCCTTTGGCGAATGCTTGTCGTCCAGGTTAAAAGGCATGGTGGACGTACATGTACTTGTACAGTGCAGCACACAATGCAAGGTACTGCAACTCAGGCACCGACTGGGGGGAAGGGGAGGGGGGGCAGTCGAACAGGCCCTGAATGACCGGGATCGGGGGCATCCTCGAGGGAACCGATGCGCCATTTGGTCAGAGATTGCAGGTGATTGTTTGGCGGGCGATCATTGGCCTGGACTGCTCAACAGGCTCGACAGAAGGCCAAGAATCCGGCTTCGGTTGATGTGTCCTAGGGGAAGCAGCGGACGGAGAGAACGCCGTCGCACCGTATCTATCGAAGAAGCTTCCATCTGCCGTTGCCACTCCGTCGAAGGCCGAGTCCAAGGAGAATATGCCGGGAAGACCAGCCGGATGAACATCGACATGAAGAAGGGATTGTCATGCTCCGAGCTTACCGGAACCGACTGTAACATGGTCATTTAGTGTCAAGGTACATGGTACAGATACCAGTTAAAAAAAGTCCGCTGTCACATCGCAATTGGATTCGACAACCCGCAAAGTTGGAGGCTGCTCCGGGGGGGGGGGCCTTGTTCCCTGCAATGGACCCGGAAAAGAAAGCCACGGACAGTCCACGGACAGTCAGGGCCACCGTTCCTCCGCATGCATCCTACAACTCTGTGTAATCAGTTGGGGCAGGACAGGGGGTGCCCATCCCCGTGGAACAGTGACAGAGACCGCCAATAGTATGCTGTTAGAAGCTTTTCTGATCAAGCATTGCACAGGAGGTGTGCGACATGGATGGAACCCATGTGGGTGGGCGCAGTAACACGGATTGTATTTGGTGTATTGATAAAAAGGGTTATGTGGTGACGGTGCGTATGGGTCCCGTTTCGACCGTTACAGTTGTGACTCGCTGCGATGTTTATTGATAAAGAGATCGGGGGTGACTGAGATGGACGTCTGCCTCTGCTCTGGTCCCTGTGTAGATACAAGATGTGGGAGCAGACACACTGAAAGATGGTGTGGTAGAGAAAGAGCTTGATCCAGGCTTGGAAAAGGACCAGGCCTAAAAGGGGTGTGATGCCAAGCTGGGCGATACCATGTCCGCTGGTGCCCAGGCCCAGCGCCGGAGCATGCTTCCTCATCAGTGCTAATGCCCCCCAGGGAGCTGTCCTTCACTCGTCAACTGCCAAACGAACCGCAACCCTGAACATCCTAGCACTCCGGGGCCCTGAAGGCTGGCCCCGATCCTCCTCTAAAGCCCCCATGCGCCCCCGACTCGAGCAGGTACGGTTCTCCAGCTTTCCCGCACGGTTCACCCTGGACCTCGACCCACGACGAGGACGAGGACTCAATGAGACAGGACGGCCAGGAAATCATCAGCCCACCATTCTTGCCGTTTCCCCCATCACCAACCAACATCCCTCGAAAGGCGCTGCCGCTCCCGCCTCCTCCGCCTCCTCCGCCTCCGCCGCCGCCGTACCTGTCTCGAACCGTGGCTCAGACTGTCATGTCGCTCTTGGCGATCTCGGAGCCATCCTCACTATCGCCGTAGCTTCACAGCGACAGCCGGCCGCAGTGCCTCCTCGATGGCCAGAAATCGCCGCTCCAAAAAACGTTCAGGGACCTGCCCCAGGTCGCGCGCTCACCACAACCAGTCGCTTGACGGAATCGGCACGGGCACCATGTCTACGCTGTCCACCGAAGGCAAGTCGAGCGACGGAGGACTTTCTAGCGACAGACTGGACAGCGAAGGCGGCACCTACACCGAGATGACCAGCGTCACGGGCTCGGAGGAGCTCAACAGCGCCGTCGGCGCCCTCGCCGCTGACCATCTCGCTGATGCGAACATGAGCGACGACCACTCGACCTCTGCCCCCAACGACAGCGAACACCCAGCCTTGGTGGATGCGCATGATCCTGATGAGCCACTGCCTACCGAGCGCGACATGGAAATGTTGGTTTTCCCTTTCCTTACATCCCCCCGCATCGCGTGCGACCGGCCCGCATATTCCACGTGGCCCAGAGACTGACAAGACCGGACTCGTCGCACAGGGCGTCAACACGATCTATCACAGAGCAAGACTTGGACTATCGGTGGGAACACGGTCGACGGTACTGTGGCCCGCACTACCACATGCCCAATGACGAGTACGAACAATGCCGAATGAGCTTGATCCACCGAATCTACTTTGACATTTTCGACGGCGAACTCTCATCGGTTGCGCTTCACGATCCCGACAGGATATTAGATATTGGCACCGGCATTGGCGAATGGGCGATTGGTGTGTCAGACGCCTTCCCTGATTGCGAGGTGATTGGGACCGACATATCCGCTATACAGCCGACGTCTGTGCCGGCGAATTGCTTCTTCGAAATTGACGATGCCGAGCTTGAGTGGACGAGAGAGCCAGATTCTTTTGACCTGGTTCATTTTCGAGACATGCTGGGCGCCTTTGAAGACTGGAACTTTATCTACCAGGAGGCATTCACCGTCATCAAGCCCGGCGGCTGGATAGAGCTGATGGACATTGACGACTCCAGCAGCGCTCTGAAAGCGTTCCTCTCATCTTTTCCCGAAGAATCGGATATCCACCGTCTTGTGAGGGATCTCACTCTTTCCACCACAAAAAGCGGCCGGCCGCGAGGGTTGCAACATCTTAGCCCTTCGCTATTACACAGGGCGGGATTTGTAGACATTAAGATTACGGAACACGTCATTCCCATCAACATTGAGGCTGGCGGCGGCAAGCTGTGGCTCATCTCCTGCATCGACGGACTGGAGGCTTCCACACTACGACCGCTGACACAGCACATGGGATGGGAAGCGGACGAGGTCAAGGAGGCATGCTTGAACGTCGCCCGCGAAGTGACACGCTTCGCAAGAGATCCGATCAAGGCAAAAGGCCTCAATGTGAAGATTCGGTCAGTCGTCGGGAGGAAGCCGACGACAACGATACCACCGGAGGAACAGGGGCGAGGCGAGGAGCCGGAGTTCGTGCCTCAAGTCGTCATGCATGATATGAGACTGGAGTAGTAAGTATCGGCTTTTCGGCGATGGAGTGTATGGATCCGGAAGGGAAGGAGGCCTCTTCTGAGTCCCTAACCTATGCCAGTTGTCTCCGAGGATGTGGGCGGATAGGATGATACCCAGGGACTCTGTTTGGATGAACGTCCATGCTGGCAGGGGTACTGAAGCGCTTCACTTTTGGCGCATCAGTGGCGGACGGCTTTTTGTGTGTTTCAGCAAACATTCAGGCGTTGTTGTATCTTCTTCTGTCACCGTAGGGATGCTTCTCAAGCAGGCGTTGGATTGAGATGGGAGTAGGGATGGAATCACCCATCATTGGGCAATGATCAGCCAAAGTGCTGGCCCAGAATTGCTTGAATGTGGTTGTCAGTTACGATCTACCATGTTAGACGTGGAAATACAGCCAGGGTTCATGATTACAACCCTGCATTCCCTGCATTTCTGTGTGACCACTCATGCAGGTAGTTTTCGCATCCGCAGGTCTTGTTGATCACGTCGAAATTGTGGCTAGGTAGATACACTCACTCTTTTGATCAGCGGTCATCCAGTGCGGGCGCTCGCTCAACACCAAAGGACCTCCACAGGCTAAAAGTGGAGACCTGAGCTCGACGCATCCTCCACCAACGACATCATCCCTCCAGCCACCTCAGGCGAAGCTCACCCAGAGCTCGCTGCCTTGTCGACAACGACATCCCCGCCAGTCTCGATCCTCGGCCACGACACCACACAGCTCAGCTTGCTCCTTGGACAACGGGCGGACGACGAGATTCAATCCACCGATTTCACAACAAGCGAAACGACAGTGCATGGCAACACCAGCTCGATAGAACAGCCACCATGGCACTCACCACCCCCGATGGCCTCGGTGCCGCCCTCGACACGGATGAGCTGCCCATGTTCGTCGTCGAGCGAGTGCAGCTGCAATTCTCCGTCGCCGCCGATTTTGTAGCGGCCCAGGTGGCGAACAACGTCCTCGTTCTCGCCCTCTCGAATGGGCGCATCCTGCGCATCGACCTCAACAAGCCAGAAGACATTGATGGTTTGTCTGCCATCGTGTCTCGACGTATCAGCGGGCGAGGCTAACACATTGATAGACATTGACCTTCCGAAAAAGACCTCCGAAGTAGGCGTCATCCGTCGCATGTTCCTCGACCCTACGGCATCGCATCTTCTTATTTGCACGGCACTCGGCGAAAACTACTACCTGCACTCGCAGCACAAGAACCCCCGACCGCTGGCTAGGTTGCGAGGCGTCTCCATAGAGAGTGTCGCATGGAACCCCTCATTGCCGACCGCATCGACGCGCGAGATCATTCTGGGTGCCTCGGACGGCAACATCTACGAAGCCCTGATTGAGGCGACCTCTGAGTTCTACAAGAAGGACATACGCTTGAAGAACCTCCACCGGCTGCAGGATGGCCCTATCACCGGTCTCTGGGCGGATGCTCCGCAGGGGAAATCTGACGTCCGACGGCTCATGATCGCGCAGCAGAGCAGGCTCTTCCACCTCTCTGGCAAGATTGGCAATGGGTACGACAGCCATGGCTCCGTGTACACCAAAGTATTCGAGTCCGAGCAACCTACAATACATGAACTGTCGCGAGCTTCCGGGGCGGCACCGTCTTCGCTTGTCGTGTCCCCGGATCCGCCCGAAACGAACCCCTACGACGACGAAGAGGCCGAGAGGGCGTATGCGTGGTTGACGTCTCAGGGCGTCTTCCACGGCAAGCTGTTGACAGATGCTGATGCAGAACTGGGCAAGAAGGTATTTGCCGGCTCAAAACTCCAGGCGCGAACGGACTTGATTCATGCCGAGGCATCGAAGAGGAGAGGATCACCCGAGTTTGTGGATGCCATTGCACTTACTCAATGGCACATCCTGCACCTGGTTGGTGGCCGTGTAGTGGCCACCAATCGGCTGACCGGGGCCATCGTGTACGACCAAATTGTTCTCGACGCCGGACAGACCGCTCTCGGGCTGTACGTGGATCTGCAGAAGAATACGTTCTGGCTCTTCACCAGCCAGGAGATTTTCGAGGTTGTTGTCACAGACGAAGACCGCAGCATCTGGCAGATTATGCTCAAAATGCAGCAGTTTGACGGCGCGCTGCAGCATGCGAAGACTCCAGCGCAGAAAGAAACAATAGCTACGGCATACGGTGATTACTTGGTGGGCAAAGGCCACTTTTTGGAAGCGGCTGCGGTGTACGGACGCAGCAACAAGCCCTTTGAAGAAGTCGCTCTATCCCTCATCGACAATGCGCAGCCTGACGCCTTGCGAAAGTATCTCCTCGCCAAGCTCGGGTCTTTGAAGAAGGGGGCCATTATGCAAAGAGTCATGATTGCAAGCTGGCTCGTGGAGGTCTTCATGGCCAAGCTGAACTCGCTCGATGATACAATCATATCACAGGCCGAACTGACCGAAAACCTCAACCCGAAACAGTCGAAGGAACAACTTCAGGACGTTGAGAAAGAGTACAAAGAGTTCGTCAATAAGTACAAGCAGGACCTTGACAAACGAACAGTATACGACGTTGTCAGCTCGCATGGCCGCGAGCGGGAACTGCTCTACTTTGCCAACGCGGTCAACGACTACAACTACGTCCTGTCCTACTGGGTCCAGCGCGAGAGGTGGCCTGAAGTCCTCAATGTGCTGAAGAAGCAGACAGATCCAGAAGTCTTCTACCGCTACAGTACTGTGCTCATGACCCATGTTGCAACAGATCTGGTGGAGATTTTGATGCGGCACTCGGACCTGAAGCCGCGAAGCCTCATCCCCGCGCTCTTGGAGTACAACCGCAACTTCAAGGGGCCGCTCACCCCAAAACCAGGCTGTTCGTTATTTGCAATACATCATCAACCAGGTCAAGTCGAAAGACTCAGCTGTCCACAATACTCTGGTTTCTATTCATGCGTCTCATCCCTCCTCCGATGAGGCCGGCCTGCTCGCATACCTGGAGGCTCAGGGCGACGAACCCGACTACGACCCCGACTTTGCGCTGCGCCTGTGCATCCAGCACCACCGAACACTATCGTGCGTTCACATCTACACGAGCATGGGCCAGTACCTACAGGCAGTAGATCTGGCTCTCTCCCATGATGCCATCGAGCTGGCGTCTGTTATTGCTGACCGGCCCATGTCGAACCCGCCTCTGCGCAAGCGCCTCTGGCTTGCCGTAGCGCGCAAGGTCATCACCCAGTCAGACGGCATCAAGACAGCGATCGAATTCCTTAAGAGGTGCGACCTTCTGAAGATTGAAGATCTGATCCCCTTCTTCCCAGACTTTGTCGTCATCGACGATTTCAAAGAAGAGATCTGCGCGGCGCTCGAAGACTACAGCCGCAACATTGACGGACTCAAGAAGGAGATGGACGAGTCGTCGCAGACTGCCGCCAACATCAAGGTCGACATTGCCGCGCTCGATCAACGATACGCCATTGTCGAGCCGGGCGAGAAGTGCTACGTTTGCGGGCTTCCACTGTTGAGCCGTCAATTCTTCGTGTTCCCGTGCCAGCACTCGTTCCACTCGGACTGCCTCGGGCGAAAGGTGCTCGAGCAAGCCGGCGTCGGGACGAGCAAGAGAATCAAGGAGCTGCAGGTGCAGATCAGCAAGGGACTCGTCAGTGGCGTGAAGCGGGAGGCCATGATTATGGAGCTGGACTCGCTCGTTGCTTCGGCTTGGTATGTTTACACCACCACAATCCCTTCCATCAAGGTTGCGTGACTGATTCTGTGTGCAGTATACTATGCAGCGATTTTGCCATCAAGAGGATCGATGAACCGTTTGTCACAGCGAGGGACAACCTTGTCGAGTGGGTTGTGTGAGTTTACAGTCCGGGTATGGTTTGTGCTGTACATATTGCGGGATTGCTGCACGAGCGCGGGTGTCGGGGAGTATCCTGTGGGTGGAATACAATTCAGCTTTGCGATTTCACAGTGGCTTTTGGACGGTGACGTGCGTGATGGGCGTGGCATTCATAATGGCGGCGATATTGAGAGCTGCGCATGAGCTTCAGGTTGGTATTTTTTATTTCTCTTCACCACTATCGTACGACTGAACCCACAACGTCACTCGCAGTCAAAGTGACCTAAGCGCTTTCACTACCAATCCTCCAGCCTGAGAGTTTGCGAACGCCAATCTTGTCCATGTCAAGTTTAAAGGCAGCGTTTCGAGCACTAAAAGGGGGGCTTCAGATCTCGCACACGGTCACATCAACTTTCGACCTGGTGAGCATCAAAATGGCCACGATGACCCCGTACAACCCCAGCACCTCGGCAAAGATGAGAATCAGCACCATGCCAGAGTAGAGCCTGGGCTGCTGGGTGCTCGCTCTCACTGTCAAGCACAAGCGTATATCAGCCGAAGCACTTCTTCCGTGAACAATGAAGGGAGATGGCACGACAAGAGGGCGCAAAGGGGGACGAGAACGCACCGCCCGCATCGCCGATGATGCCAATGCTGAAACCAGCCGCCATGCCGCTCAGCCCGACGGCGAGCCCGGCGCCGAGCTGCAGGAAGGCGGCGAAGAGGGTCGTCTTCTCCCTGAGGTCGCCGGCGATGAGGACGGAGGCGACGAGGCCGTAGATGGCCAGGATCTGGGCCATGACGGCGCACAGCGTGTTCTGCATGAGGCGGTCGGGGCGCAGGACGCCCGAGGCGAAGATGGCGGGGGCCGACTTGGCGGTGCCGTAGGAGGCGCCGATGACGGTCAGCGTGATGGCTGAGCAGCAGCCCAGGGCGCCGAAGACGGGCTGTCATTTTTGGGGGTTGTCAGACTTGGGGATTGTGGAGGGGAGGTTCGAAAGAGATTAGCGAAAGAGATTAGGGTGGAGTGGTGAACTTACGGCATATGCTGGGCTGCCGGCATTTTGGGGGAAGATGTTAGCTGGGCGCTTCTTGATGCGTAGGGTGCCCTTTGACGAACCAGCGGTACATGCTTGCGACGAGATCCATAGCGGGCGAAGAGGCGAGTATGGTTTGCATGAGAATGGTCAGGTCAGGCAGGGGAGGGGCACGAGGCACGAGGCACGAGGCACGGCGTTATTCAAAATTTCGATTCATCGTCGCGAGTTATACGGAGTCCATTCCAGGCAGACATTGAGCAAAATATTGTGACGGGAGGCACAGCCGTCGGGCTGATTATCTCGGACTTCAGCCTCAGGGCTTACTTTGAGCTGGTGAAGGTACGATGACCACCCAGGCCGAATGGTGCAACGGCAGAGGCATGTCGCTTCATCGCAGATCGAGAGTGTCATGCCAAGAGTCGTGGCTTGCCGGCTCCCTCTCAGTCTTCCTGGAAGATCATGTCGATGTCCAGGCATCCAGATAAAGTAGAGGATGATTGGTGATGGTGGTGTAGGTCGCCTGGTGTTTAGAGGCGTCGTCTGACTGGTACCTTAGGTGGTTGACGAATGGCAATGGCAAGACGGCAGGAGCACCTCGTCAGGGGTTCTGGGCATTACATAAGCCCACTGGACGCCTGGACGCACAGGGCGTTCCTGCCTCTGGTGCCGCCCCCCCTCCTTGTGCTCCTTGTGGAACCTGCCCCATGTCCCCAGGACATCACGGCGATCATGTCCAGCACGCGCCACGCCTCGGACCCATCAGTCACCATCGCTACCATGATCATCATCCGCGGCCACGCCATCGGCCTGTCTTTTCACCGCCGTCCGAATTCTGAAATCGGTCTGATGGAAATCGCAGAGCGAAACATAACAGCCGACCATTCTTGGACTGGGAACAGTTGCGAACGAACCAGGTCTCACGGGTTGCTGCTGTATGACGTGCTTCAAACACGCTGCATAGTCGCCGGTCTTCATCGACTTTGTGCCGTCGCCAAAGGAAAGCAGACGAATTCCCCATTCCCCCATGTTAGATGGTGTACCGAGTACGACAAGCTTTGCGGCAAAGCACTCTATTCGCCTTGGCCCGAGGAAACAGTATGGGGATCTGCGTTTGGGGGCGCGGAGCACCATGTTGATGAAATACTCACGACGCCCCGTCTCGCTGACGACTCCCCAGCCCTACGATCTGCTCTGCCGATTGCGGCCATGGCCATTTCGAATTGGGCTACCTCGCCTGAATGGTTTAGGCGGCATGGCTGCGGCGGTTCCAGACCTGTCTGATGATCCACGCGAGCTGTAACAGAAGTCGCTCGGCTCCCTGACGCCCAGACGTCCTTCGTGTTTCAACCTCGCGCCAACGCCCTCTCTTTGGTCCCCTGACCCGACTCGAGCGCGCAGTGACACACCGCCGCCCTCACACTTGTCGCTGGTGACGAGCTCTTCACGGCTTTCCAAACAAGCGACTCCTCTGGGTCCCCGGCAAGCATGATGACCTTTGTAGCATTCACCACTCGGCTTTCCCCTCTGTGAGGGCCGTCGGGGGTGAAAATCGTTTTTCGGACTCCCCAGCAAAAAGCACTTGGCCGTGTCAACCAGCGTACCGTGCTCCCCGCTCGCTGTCTTGTTCCCTGACCCATTGTTCTATTCCAAGACGATCTGCCAGTCTCTCGGGTTTCTCGTCTTCTCATGCCCTTGACCCTGCTTTTGCGAAGTCGTTCTTCTTTTTTGCTACCCTTACATATCATTATCGGTAGTCTCCGACACCAAACACTCATCCCTCTTCTTTTGAATTCTTGACTCTGATCACCCGTATTTTTCCTTTCGTCTATCTGTATACTCACTTTGTCTGTCCCGCCTATTCCTATTTGCGCGCAGGACCGTCGCTAATACCGAGGGCTCCTCCATCTCGACTACCATACGACCGACCATAAGCGGACTTAATTTCTTGTCAATCTACAGCTCACCACTCTTGCACGAGCATCGCCTTCTATTCTTCTTCTCGGCCCGGCGTCGACTTGCCTCTTGGGAGGCCTTTTTTCAAGTCCTTCATTCGACGAATAGAATATTGATTGTCTTTTAGCCGTCAGTCAGTCCGATGGTATCACAACACGCCTCTTGTCTTTCCTGAGTTCTGCCCCGCCCCTGGCACCGGTCTGTCAGCAAAGTCGCCGGCTGTCCTTCACCTTCATTCTCCGCCATCATCATTCTCCGCCATCATGAGAACAATACCAATATGGGTTCTCTCCTCCCTGCTGTTGTCTTCGACGGGCGAGGCCGTCGCGTTACGGAAGAGGGACGGCAGCCCTGCGCGGGTCATCGGTTTCGACTTGGAAAGCAAGATCATCCAGGCTCCAAACGACAAGAATGGCATGCGGCGGAGAAATACTGTCACAGCTTCATTAGACAACCTGGTACGTACGGCGCCATCGGCCAGCTGGGAATATTCTACTGACCGGCACCCTCTCAGCAAACCCTGTACTTTGTCAACGCCACTCTCGGCAACCCTCCACAGCAGTTCCGCCTGCATCTGGATACAGGCAGCAGTGATCTCTGGGTCAACACTGCCAACTCACAGCTCTGTCAGGAGGTCCCTAATCCCTGTGCCCTATCGGGCATGTATGCTGCCAATCAGTCATCGTCATACAACTATCTCGGCAGCTACTTCAACATCTCCTACGTCGACGGGTCCGGCGCCACGGGCGACTACGTGACTGACGATTTCAACATTGGCGGCACCGTGCTCACCGATTTCCAGTTTGGTATCGGCTATGAGAGCTCCGCTGCGCAGGGCATTCTGGGCGTCGGCTATCCCATTAATGAAGTCCAGGTTGGCCGGGCAGGGATGGATCCGTATGACAACATTGCGGCCAAGATGAAAGCGCAAGGTCTTATTCAGTCCAATGCCTTCAGTCTGTACCTCAACAGCCTCAGCGCTTCAACCGGCAGCATCCTGTTCGGCGGTGTGGATACGGAGCACTTTGTTGGCGAGCTTCAGACACTCCCCATTCAGATGCACGCCGACATCCACTCCGAATTCCTTGTGACGCTGACCGATGTGACTCTTGGTTCTACCACCATGGGCTCCGACCTGGCCATTGCCGTCCTCCTCGACTCGGGGTCGTCCCTCTCCTACCTCCCGGACGCCATGGTCAAGGAGATTTACTCGATGGTCGGTGCCGTCTACCAAGAAGAGCAAGCGGTCGCTTTCGTGCCTTGCGCGCTCCGCCAATCCCCGGCCAACATGACCTTCACCTTCTCCAAGCCAAAAATCACCGTGCCCATCAGCGAGCTTGTTCTCGATCTCTTCAAGATTACGGGTCGTCAACCTACGTTCTCCAACGGCGCGCCCGCGTGCCTCTTCGGGCTCGCTCCAGCAGGTGCCGGCACGCATGTCCTGGGCGACACTTTTATGCGCTCCGCCTACATTGTGTACGACATGGAAAACAACGAGATCTCGCTGGCGCAGACGCGTTTCAACACGTCGAGATCCAACATTTTGGAGATTGGCACGGGCCGCAGCTCGGTGCCGTCGGCCATCACGGTTGCCGAACCGGTGGCTGCCACGCATGGACTCCGCGGTGGAGGCGCCGCGGCCGCGCATAGCACGGCTCATGTATTGACGCCGCTGGCTGGGCCATTTCTGGCTGGCGTCATCAGTGGGATCCTTGGGTTTGTGTCATTTTTTATTTAAAGCATTGGGAGCGAAGACGGTGACTTTTTATACATTTGCATCGCGACGGCGTCTTGTTTTTTATTGTCACTTCAAGAAAGAAGCCTAGGTAGTTCCCTCGGGCAGTATCGTTCTGCATATATGTATGTATAAGACGATATGAAGCATAAATGAAGCGTTGACTTTTGAGATGGATCCTCTTCCACCTGCCCTGTGATAGTGTTGATTTTGTCAGTTGGTCTGGCCTGCGTCCCAATCTGACCTACTATGTACGTCCACTCACAACGAGGTTGCAATCAGGGGCTGTCCTATACGGCTTAGCAAGGTAACTCCCATTGGCCGTTCATGCGATCCTGAAGCAAGGCAGTGACGGCCACAATTTCACCTCGCTATCTGGCCTCATGTAGTTAGCCGAAATGCCGACCAAAGAGGGTCGGACCAATTGACGCGCTAGCAGAGCCAAGTCTCTTCCGCCCAATTGCCCACTGTAACACGGTCGGGGGTACTTTGCCGCGTTAGCAGCAACACCGCATCACGGAAACGGCAGTCCAATCCTGCAAGCGCGAACATGAGGCTTCCCAGCTTCATCGACCCAACCTCGAAATAAGAAATTGGAGATCCGCCCGCCATCGGCAACGACGACATCCCAACACGTCGCGTGCAGTCGCCACACGATACATACCACCGAGCCTCCTTCCGATCGATCCCCGACGGGCCCTGCCGCATCGCCGCGGCGACTCGGCGCACAGCCATGGCCGCGCAACCATCAACATCCACGTCGGCGTCGACACCCACACCCTCGGCCACACCTGTCGGCGCGACAGCCTCTGCCTCATCAGCAGCCGCCTCGGCCAACGGCAACGATGACGCGTCTCAAGCTGATGCCCAGGCCAAGCCCGCGCCTGCCGTTCTCGTGCGCGACAAGGAATCCTTCCAGAAACTCATGGTCGAACGCTACGTGACGCGCGACTGGGAGAACCAGGCCGCTCAGGGCATCGCCATGCGGTACAACGCCGACAGCTTCCAGCGCTACAACGACAAGATCGCCGAGTACAGGATCATACGCGAGACTCACCGCCAGCATTTTCCGCCCGCCCGGCTCTATGGCGAGGGCTATGCCGGTTGGGGCAACGGCCACACAGAGATCGACCCACGGGTCAAGACGGCGTTTCCAACCCAAATCCTCTACCCGGCTTTCAAGCCGCGACTCGGAAAGAGGCGATCGCCGCCGTTGACCTGGAAGAAAAAGGACATCAAGAAGCAGGCCGAGCAGCACGAAGAGCTGGTGCCTGTGCGCATCGACGTCGACACGGATAAGCTGAAGCTGCGAGATACTTTCACGTGGAACCTCCACGACCGGATCGTGCACCTGGACACATTTGCGCAGACGCTCATCGAAGACATAGGCTTGGAGGTGGGCCCGGCGAACAAGCACGTCCACGATGCCATTGTGCACCAGATGCACGACCAGCTGATGGACTTTTACCCCTTTGCCTTTTCCGAAGAGGATGCCCTCGACCCCGAGCTCCCCTATTCAGCGTACAAGAACGACGAGATGAGGATACTGGTCAAGCTGAACATCACCATCGGTCAGCATACCTTGGTGGACCAGTTCGAGTGGGAGATCAACAACCCTCTGAACTCGCCTGAAGAGTTTGCCGCCACGATGGCGCGCGATCTGTCCCTCTCTGGCGAATTTACGACCGCCATCGCGCACTGCATTCGAGAGCAGACCCAGCTATTCACGCGCAGCCTCTATGGCGTCGGCCATCCCTTTGATGGGCGCCCTGTGGAAGATCCCGACCTCATCAACGCCTTCCTGCCATCGCCACTACCCGCCGTCTTCCGACCACAGCAACAAGCAAAGGAGTACGCGCCATACCTCTATGAGCTGAACGACATGGATATAGAACGCAACGAGCTCGTCTTCTCAAGAGAGCAGAGGCGACAGAAGAGGTCCATCAACAGGCGAGGCGGACCCCAGCTCCCCGATCTCAAGGACCGTCAACGAACAATTCGCACGCTCATCGTCTCATCTGTATTGCCCGGCGCTGCTGCTAGCCTCGACGAGACAACGCTGTACAAGAGGGTCGCCGGAGCCCCCGGCACACGCAAGAGGCCAGGCGCCCGCGATGGCGATCTCTCCGAATCCGACTCGAGCGACGACTCAGGACCCGACTCGCCCGCCATCTCACAGCTCGGCGGCGGCACGGCGAGGACGAGGGGCCTGCGCGGGGCCGCCACGGCCGCCCAGCAACGCATGGCGAACCTGGGGCGCTCCGAGACCCCTGAGGCGAGCGTCATTCACCATCACGAGACGCGCAGGAATGCCGGCCGCTACGGCCGTGATCTGCGCGACGACACGGAGGAGCCGACGACCATGATCATCACGCTCAAGATCAACAAGGAGAAGCTGAGGAGATTCCTCCAGAACCCGAAAGCAAGAATCACCCCAAGCGGGTCGCAAACGCCAGGAACGCCGAGCATCAACAGGGCGCCGAGCTCCATGCCGCCACCTTCGACCCCGGCCTCCAACAACCAGATGTTGCCCAAGGCTGGCACGCCGGCTGCTCCGCAAGCGCTGCTCGGCGGCGTGTCGGCACCGAACCCGGTCGAGGGGCAACCCCCTCCGCCACCGGTAAGAGACTTGCCGCGGCCGTGAACCATGCACCCTCCAATGCTGACTGTCGCTGTAGCCGCCTCCGCCTGAATGGCTCTCCCGAGGCCTCCAGGAACTCCGCGAGACGTATCCCCACGATCAGTTCGAAGGCATCATGCGCCACTCCTGCATCAACCCCGAGACGGAATTGCCCGTGGTCATCCCCGCTGGCCAGCCGACACCTCCCGGGCACCGCTGGATGTTCCTCCCGCGCATCCGCTGCACGGACTGTCCTGGCAAGTCGTACACGCCGGGGCCGGACATGACGACGGGCAACTTTGAGCGGCACCTGGGGCTGGGCAACCATCGCAAGAACGTGGATAAGCGGTGCGGGTTCGATACGCGACCGAAACTCAAGGTCGAGGCGTCGGGGGTTTAGGTGAACCACCTGTCGCAAGAGACGTTGGATTTCCTGGAGACGTTTTCTCCTGGCCCGGATATGGGCTACGACGACAGCACATGGATGCTGTGAATTCCTCTCCATGTCTCGTCCTCGGCTAGACAGGCCAGGACGGGAGAATGGAGGCGTGCAGGCCCATTCTCTTGGATCTCTTACCCCTACGCTTCCTGGCGTGATGTGAAGATGCGGTCTGTGCAGTCCTTCGACCAGACAAGCCAATGCTGGGAATTACACTGGATCCAGGGTCAGGTTCTTCAACGCCTGTCCACCTCGAACAGCATCTGGACACAACTGGAGGCAGCCAACCGATCCGTTCTGCCCAAGCGACCTCACAGCTGACGCATCATGCCGTCCTCTTCCACGCTTATCGACAGTCTCCATATACCAGTACAGGCTCGCGCCAGCGGCCTTGTTTCTCTCCCAACCGAAAAAAAGATGACATCAGGCACCTCTGTATAGTACGACCCTGGGAAGAAGAAGACACAGTGTAGCCTTCCAATCCCTATTCCTTGTAGACAAGGCTGTTTGCGAGCAGCGGGCTGGGCGGGTTCCTCCTCATTTTGCACCCCTGTTTGTTGTACTCTCTCGCCCCCCATTTTTGCCCCCTCGTCATTGAATCTCGCTGTGTCGGTTTTTTTTATTTCATCTTCCTTTTTTTTTCCTTTGGCTTTCATTATGGCAGGCGCTTGGTATGGGTTGGGAGAAAGACGGAAGACGGCTGCGAGGTTGATGGGAGCTATTGGGAACTCGGAGCTGACAGATCTGGAGGTGGGAGGCCATGAGGAGGAGGAGGGAGACGAGAGGGTTGCAAAGATACGAGACGCTTTGTGGGGAGGGGGCTTTTGCTGGTAGGAGTAGAGAAGGGAAATGCCACAGGGCTGAGGCCTGTTACTGTTAGTTGCTGCTGTGTTCTCCTGGGCCCCGTTTGTCGTGATTGCGCGGGTCTGTCGCTCAGGGGCTGCTGAGGCTCGCAAGCGATGCTGCCTCTGGACTGCTGCTTCCATGCAGTTGCTGGTTGACGGCGATTGAAGAGGAAGCACGCCTGCACTAACCCATGAGCCTGGCTGCTAGGCGAACTTGTCTGTGTTTCCTGCTAGTGACATGAAGCTTGGGAGAACGCATGAGGCAGTCGTTTGTTCCAGTGGCTTCGATGGATATTGAGATGGAACTTGCATTTCCACGTCTTGAGCTCAGCCGCCTTTGTATACTGACCGGTTTCGTTTGCTGGCGCAGGTAACAGTATAATAAGGCATTCTTACCAACATGGATATAGAACTGATGCCGTGGCTGCTCCGTCAGCTCTTTCGAATGGCATCTGGGTTCTTGATGCTTTTCCATGACGATCTTCCTACTTCAACCCCTGTTCTGGTGTGGAAGGCTCATGGCCGACTGCTGTGACAATGTAGGGGACTCCGAAGGCGAGCCTACGATATATATGATCTATCCAAGAGCACCTTGGCGCCTCTTCTCCCGTCTTCCAGAATCACAAAGACAAGTCTTAGACTACATAACTTTCCTTGGATTTAGGGACATAGCTTCACTTTGATTTTCGGTACAACCATTACATGCTTCGGCTTACGTAACGACACATGAGGTGATTGATGCCAAACCTATCGATGCTCAGCTTTCGTTGAGCGAAAGTGAAGCTGGTGTGAACAAAGACAGCAAGGATTCCCGCCTGCAGACGTGGTTTCAGAACTTCCTGCCTCATCTCTTAAAATCGTCAGGCGACGCGAACGATTCTTGTACCTTAGACCTTCCCTACAGCACGAGTGCCTCCATACTGAGTCTTGGACATCTCTCTTCGCTCTACCACTGTCAGCTCGCCATCATGGCGCATACTCAGGAACCAGACGCCAACGCCACGTCTTCCGAACAGCACAAATTATACTTTGGCTACGGCTCAAACCTGAGCACGACCCAGATGAAAACCCGCTGCCCCGCCTCGACGCCCGTCGGCCTCGCCTTCCTCGGCACTGGATGGGAGTGGCTCATCAACGAGCGCGGCTACGCCAACGTTGTCTACCGCCGGTCAGAGAACAAGGATGCCACTGGCACGAGCACGAGCACGAGCACGGCCACGGGACCCGGCGTCTACGGCGTGCTCTACCGCCTGCCGCCCGCTGACGAAGAGCTGCTGGATGGGTACGAGGGCGTGCCGATCGCGTATGAAAAGGTGACGCTGCCCGTTCTCGTCTTCGCGCCTGGGGAGCAGCAGGGGCCGGGCGAAGGGCGCGAAGCGGAGGCGCTGGTGTACGTGGATTATCACTGTGCTGGCAAGGGGGAGCCGTTGGATGAGTATGTGGGGAGGATGAATCGCGGGATCAGGGAGGCGACCGAGGCGTTTGGGTTGCCGGGTTGGTACGTTGACAAGGTCATGAGGCCGTTCATTCCGCTTGATGAACCGACAGAAGGGTCGTGATGGAACGGGCTCTGGTCTGTTGTTACTGAGGGAAGAAAGATGCTTGCAGTGGTGTTTGCTGTCGTTGCTGCCTATCGTTCATCTGATGATGGATTAGCTGGTCCTTGGGGTCGTGGTCGATCAAAATCAACGCCGTCTGGAGCAATGTCGGTCTAGTCATAGCAATCACCTCCTGACGCAGCAGGACACAACGAGGAAGAGGGCCATGATCGTCACTCCTAGTTGGAGGAGATGCTCCAAGCCTTCTCCCACGCAGGGAGCGGAACCATCAAGAACAACACGAAAAGGCTTGCTGTGGAAGCCTCACTGTCAATGATGCACTGAACCGCCCGAGATCTCGCTGCGAATGGGCAATGGAAGCTTGTAAAGACGACGATAGCTCTCGCAGTCATCTAAATGCCCAATGCCTTGACGTGATGTCTACCTAGGTACCTAGGTAAGATACCTTACTTAAGGTAAGGTAGGTAGGTAGCTCGAGCTACCTCTCAGCCCAAGGGGAGCTCGCCCTCCAAGTCACGAGAGCTCGGCAGCACGTATCACGCACGCTTCAACAGGGCGGGAGACTACATGCCCAGAAGCAAAGTGACACGAGCGAAGAGGGGCAGGTCGAGGGGCAGGTCGAGCGGCTTGGGCGCTTCCCAGGCCAGGCAGGCTCTGTGCCCCGCACCGAAAAACCCATCAATGCCACTCGCGCTCGCACTTGGCCCCAGAACTGGCGAAAATACAGCAAACACCCTAAATACTACTACCCCTCCTTCTGTACCTCGTGCGACGCACTCCCTCCTCCCCCCACTCACCACAACTTTCCTCGACCGAGCCTTCGATCGAGTCTTCCCAGCTACAGCATCCCCCCTTCCTCTTCCCATCAAGTAGTGTTTTGCCATCGAGAAATCAGTCACCATGGCGGAAAAGCAGGAGGCCGTTGGTGAGTAGCTCTCTCTTGTCCCTAGTGCCCATGACCGATGCTCCTCGGGTGGGTGCGTCACGTCACCTCGAGCTGCATCTGGTCGCCGTACCCCGCCATCCAACAACAGCTCTCGAGACACCACCACGCGACGCCGGACCCCTCTGGCCCCGCGCGACGTGCCGAATGCCTTGGATATCGTGCTGACACAGCTTGCAGACTACACGCTCAACAACCCTGACACCCTCACCAAGTACAAGACGGCTGCCCAGATCTCCGAGAAGGTTCTCGCCGAGGTCACCAAGCTGATCGTGCCCGGCGCCAAGATCGTTGAGATCTGCCAGAAGGGTGATGCCCTCATTGAGGAGGAGCTCGCCAAGGTCTACCGTGGCAAGAAGGTCACCAAGGGTAGGCCTGCCCCCTCCCACTGACCTTCCGTCTCGAGAGAGCGCCGTGTTAACCTTTCCATCCCAGGTTTCTCCCACCCCACGACCGTCTCGCCCTCTTCCTTCGTCACTCCTTACACTCCCCTGACCACCGACGAGTCTGAGGCTGCCGTCGAGATCAAGGCCGATGAGCCCATCAAGATCCAGCTCGGTGCCCAGATCGATGGCTTTGGCTCCATCGTTTGCGACACCGTCATCGCCGGCGCCGAGGGCGAGGTCACTGGCCGCAACGCCGACCTGATCCTTGCCACGTACTATGCCAATGAGCTTCTCCTCCGCCTCATGATCCCCCCTGGCACCCTCGGCTCCGACGACGAGAAGGCCAAGGCCGCCTCGACCAAGGCGCCTACCCAGACCAAGATCACCAGCCTGCTCGAGAAGGTCGTCAAGAGCTACGACTGCAGCCTCGTCGAGTCCACGACCTCGTGGCTGTTCGACCGCAACGAGATCGAGGGCACCAAGAAGATTGTCCTCGCGCCCGGCGAGGGCTCCAAGGGCGAGGGCGTCCCCGAGCTCGGCGAGGTCTGGGGTGTTGAGACGGGTGTCTCCCTGGGCTCCGGCAAGGTCAAGCAGTACGAGAACCGCACCACTCTGCACCGCCGCACTCTCCAGACCTACGGCCTCAAGCGCCCCACGTCGCGCAAGATCCTCTCCGAGGTTGTCAAGAAGTTCGGCGTCTTCCCCTTCAGCTTGCGCCAGCTTGAGGACGAGCGTGATGCCAAGACTGGTGTCGTCGAGTGCGTCCGCAGCAACGTCTTCCGCCAGTACGAGGTCGTTGGTGACAAGGACAACTCACCTGTTGGCCGTCTCCTGACCACGATTGGTATGTGAAGTCACCCATGTTCTGTTCTCCGGGAGCCGTCATGAAAGAAACGATGATAGATTCATATACTGACGATGTATAGCCATCACCAAGAACGGCATCACCAAGCTCGGTGCCGCGCCTGCGCTTGACCTGAGCAAGTACAAGACGGATAAGAAGATTGAGGATGAGGAGATTCTCAAGATCCTCGAGCAGCCCATCGCTAGAAATACCGGCAAGAAGAAGAACAACAAGAAGAAGAAGAAGCCCGCCAAGAAGGCCGCCGCTGCCGCCGCCGCCGAGGAGAGCTCGGAGGAGGAGAGCGACGACGAGTAAGCTGGTGGCGGACGTTGTGGAGCAGCGATGGATGAATGCCTCGTCAAAGGGCCTGCGAAGCCGATGGGGCTTTCACAGGACCCACAAACTTGTTTTCTGCGAAGAGGTAGACCTGCTGACCCTGCCTGGGCTGCCCTGGCCTGGCTCACGATGTGGGACGACACGGGTTGGTACGAAAAGCGCTGGGTCGTGTTGATGGCCCGCGTGGGCGAATTTCGGGATACCGGTGCACGCGCAGTATAGGGCTGCTGCATCATCCAGTGCGCCTTGTTAGCTAGCTAGGTCTGCGGTTGGCAGCAGGAGGGCATCTCAAATGTGCCCGATGCAGCCCCGTCAAGGACACCAAGAAAGAAACAAGAAGAGGGTTCATCGGTCGCAGAACGGCGTGGTCTTCAGCCCGCACAGCCCGGTGAGACGTGTATTGCGTTGGCATTAGTCAGTGAGAAGTGAGAGGACTGAATCTGCATATGCGTGAAGCACCAGTCGACCCGACCCGGCCTGACAAGTCACGGCGCGGCATATTCTGATGGTGTTCCTGCATCTCCGTCCGGCTCATTTCGTGGAGGGTCACGTCTGGCAAAATGGAGGAGGTTGGGGTCCGTGGCCGGGTAAGGTATGGTACGGGTTGGTATGCAGTGCTCTGGGTCCACGTAAAGGTAGGTACTCAGCTGTAGGTACTCAGCTGTAGGTACTCAGCTGTAGGTACTCAGCTGTAGGTACTCAGCAGTGCCGGACGCTGATTCAGGGGCTACGAGATCGTGACGACCTTGCAAACCTAATCAGAGTTCATATGGGGATGCAGGAGGAGCACAAGGGTAACGAGAGGAGGGGGAACCGAGCCCGGTCCTCCGTCGCAGCCCTCCACCTCCCCGTGGAGGGCAGCGCCGGAGCAGCAGTTTCGGGTTGCTGTAGCAGTGCGAATGTGGGACTGTCGTGGGCGGCCGGGTGATGGGGATTCGTGACCCCTGGATTAGGTGAGGTGAGGTGTGCCGAGCATCAGCGATCTGGAGGGTCAGTCAGTCCGAGAATGGGGACCCAGAAAAAAAAAAGGGAAGGCTTGGTCAGACGGAGTATGTGATAGAGTCGATCTGTACCTTTAAGCCGAGAGGCAAAGATTTCTGATTGCCGATGGATGATGCAACCGAGAGGGGAGGCAATGAATGAGATGAGGCAGTGATGAGGGGATAGAGTGATTTTTACCGCCGCTGACAGCCTGTTCTGTACGGACGCTCGGGGGTGCGGCCTGGGGAGAGCTTGAGAGTTGGTCCTGGTCAAGCGCCTGGCAGCATCGTCAGGGGCTGATTCATGGTCTCTTGGTGTACCGGGCCATGGATCGCCTGCACTTGCGTGATGGGTTATCGAGGCCCTAGGGAGAACCTGACGGCGTGTCCATCTTGGAGCCTGGACAGAGCTGTCTCGCCGATGAAAGATGGGACGCCGGATGAGTGGAAGACATTGGTGTGTCCAGACACCTGTGATCGGGTGATGTGGACAGGTGAGGCAAAGAGGTGCTGCAGTGTCATCGAGGACGCCTCCTGGCCACCTCCTGGCCACCTCGTCATGGCACTTTCTGGGCACGGCATGTCCTATCGTTTGGTGGGCGACGCCCCGAGCCCAGGCGCGTGTGGTGGACAACGCCTGTAGCCTCGAGGCAGGATGCCCTATTACTGCCTACACGGGTGGTTGCTTGGCAGGCCATCATGACCTAAGCACCCGCTGGAGGTGGCCGAGACATACCCCCCCCCCCCAAAAGGTGCCCCCCCCCCCATGCCCGCTGGCTGGGGCTTCCCTCGGTGGCTCAACCAAGGCACGGCCACGCTATTACGGAGGAGCCTCTACGCCTGCGAGAAACAGCTTCGACGTCTCTCAGCCTTTGGCACCCTTCCCTCTCCCCCCCCCCTGGATCAACCGCGTCGAGATAGGGGATACGCGAAGCATTTCGAGTCGCTCGCCACCTTGGAGCATCAGAGAAGTAGACATGCCATTTTTCAATTTTGCCTGATACGAAACACGACACTAACCGTACGCGCAGGTGTTATAATACTCCCTATCTTTTTTTCCCCCATCTCTGGAGAGCGTGTGTCGAGGCCCCAGCCCAGGGGGGCGCAAAGGCGAAGCTCGAGCTTGAGGCGCGACGCAGAGAAAAAACCCCGACCGCACCTCCCACGACGCGCACCGTCGCGACTGCGACCAACAGGAACCCATCAGGTTGTTTTGGCACTATACCGTCGCGATAGGAAAACGACAGAGAAGGAGGAAGGAGGTGGTCGTGGCGGCGGACGTTGAAAAGGCAGCAGCAGCAGCAGAAGAAGAAGAAGAGGATTTCGAGGAGGAGCTTCGCAAGATGGCCACGAGCACGCGAGCGACACGGTCGCGATTCTCGAGCCCGCTCCAGCTGCCTACGGCCAACACCAACACGGGTCCGGGCCCGAGTCCTCTGGAGACGTCAAGGAGCTCGGTCAACGACGCGACGACCAAGACGTTCCTGCAGAAGTGGCTGGAACCCTCCGTGCAGAGCAAGCCGAGCTATGAGGACCACGGACTCGTGCGGTACGGCGTCACCGAGGGCATGGTGCCGCTTGGCGAGATGCCCAAGTCGATCCCCGTTGCGAAGAAGAAGGAAGGCCAGCCGGTGCGCAGGATCATTCTGAAGAAGAGCACGGCGCACCTCCAGGCAGCGCAGGCGACCGCGCGAGCCTCGGCCACCGCTGCCGCATCCACGCCGACGCCGCCGGCGACCAAGACGGAATTCGATCGAAGGTCTTCCTCCAGCACGGCTGCAGCTGCAGAAGGGGCGGAAACGACGGCTGTCGACAGCGACGGCGCTCGTGCTGATGCCGCCGCGTCGGTCGTGCTGGCAACCAAGCAAGAGTCTGGCTCTGGCTCCGCACCAGACAGTGTGACGCCCGCCTCCCCCTCTCCGCAACCTCACGCCCAGGAAGCATCAGCACCTGCAGCCGCGGAAAAGCCCACGCGGCGAGCACTGCCTACCAACGATTCGGACGACGAGCACGATCAGAAGAGCACCGGCACCAAGACGACGACGACGCTGCGCAATCCGCTGTCGAGGCGGAGCCTCAACAGAGTCTCTACGGGTCGACGCGCTTCCACTTCGCACCAACCCGCCGCCGTCTCGACTTCGACGCCTGTTCCTGTTCCTGCCTCTGCCTCAGCCTCAGCCTCAGCCTCCACTCCCACGCCCACGCCCACGCCCACGCCCACGCCTACCGCTGCTTCTGCCCCTGCGACAGATCTCACGACGGCCGCTCCCGAACAGACCGTGCCTGCGAGGGAGCGCATCGAAAGGGTCATTGAGCAAGCGATTCACGAGGCGCTCGACCACTGCCGCTATCCCACGGCATGGGCTCTGCGTACGCTCTACGACGAAAAGTCATCCGACGCGCACTTTCTCACGCTGGTCGAGTCCATCTTTTCTCAGACCGCCGACTCGTCGGTCGTTGACGAGTTTGCGAAGCTCATCGAGGCGAAGAAGAGGGAAGGCAACAAGGAAAACCGAGCCCGCGATCACTTTGGCCCACCTTCGCCAAACCCCAACGGCATGAGCGGACAAAAAAGGAAGCGTGCACCGTACGCCAAACTCATCACGCTCGATCTCACCAACGCAAGACGTCCGACTTCACCTGAGCCCACACCTGCACCTGCACCTGCGGTGCCGCCTCCAGTCGTCGAGGCACCTGTGCCCGCGCCAGCCACGCCCATTGTTGTGACGCCGTCAAAGAGGAAGCACAAATCACGAAAGCAGCACACAGCCTCGCCGTTCATGGCGAAACCCTCGACGACCGTCGGCGATGGCAGTGCCCTCGTCACGCCGTCTCGGCGGCGTGCTCGTCGGGACTCTGCAGGCAGCGACTCGTCTGCTCTGTCGGAGCTTTCGGGCTCGCCCTCTCTGCCGTCGCCCACGCCTGCAGCTATCCGTGATCGCAACGTCGAAGCGGCTGCCGCTCCCGCGACGAGCGCCAAGATCATCTTCAACGAGCTGCGGCCCAGTCGACAACGCAACGCAAAGACCACAAAGAAGATGATCATCGACGCACCCGACCCCTCGGCCTTGTCATCCTCGGGCAGCCCTGCGCCTGCTGATCCTGCCATGTCGGACATTCCCTCGTCGCCCCAATTTGCTGACGCAGTTCCCGCTCGTAGGCCGGTCGGCAGGCCAGCTAAGGGCTCCAAGACGACACGAGCGGCCAAGGCCAATGCCAAGGCGTCTGCCCAAGGAAAGAGCAACAACGAGGTCAGCGCTGTGGACGAAGCCAACACGGCCAGGCGGAGAATGGCGCGGCTTCAGAGCAATTTTGCCGGCGTCGACGCCCCCGAGGAGAGCTCAATCCGCGGCGAGACGCAGAACAGCGCCAGCGCCAGCGCGAGGGCGAACGCGAACGCGAACGTGACCAGCGCCATCGATCCGCCCTTCTGGGACGAGCTCGAGGCCCCCGTGTCCACGCCAATCGCGGGTTTGCCGACGCGCAAGACGCGACAGTCGGTGGCAGGGAACGCCAGCGTACCTGGCACGCAGGCCAACGGGCGGACCACGCGGTCCAACAAGAGGGGATTCGATGAGCTCGAGGCCTCCTCGCCGACAGCCCGTTCGTTCCCACCCGATGTAGCCTCGAATGTGAACTCGTCCAGAGCTGGCACGCCCGTCAGCACGCGGGCTGTCAAAAAGCAGCGCACCGGCACCGGGCTGCGTGTCAAGTCATCGTGAGTCTATTCTTCTCTCCCTTTGCGAGCAGCGAGGCGCATCACCGAAGCACCGCGTGTCCTCTTCTCATGCTCTTCCGACCTGACATATTCTTTCTCTCTTTCTCCTAGGCCCAAGAAGAAGACCATCGGCACTGCAGCAGGCGTACCGCGCCAGAGCGGAGAGGGACATCCTTCCTCATCTAGCGGGGCTCACTTCAATTCGGTACGTGGTTTCTCTGCATTTCTCTGCATTCTCTGCATTTCTCTGCATTTCCTCATTATTTCCTCATCACTACATCCATGCTCTGCTCGCCATGTGGGTGGATCTGAGTGAGGCTGGCTTTGTCTTGCTCGATCTGGCTCGATGGCCCCCATTCTCCCTCTCTTCACCCACGCCAGACCCAGCCCATCCCCCCCCTTCGTCATGCCAACGGGCCGCCCGCGCACAGAGTTTTAGCGACCAGCTCATCTCCCACTTTTATTTGCCCGCAATCCTGGTCACCTGCTCAGCATACGCGGTTCTGCCCCCCCTCCTTGGCAGACAAAGTTGGCTAATTCGACGTGTCAGGATGACAACGACGATTATTGCTCGGCGTGCGGCGGCGTAGGTGAACTCGTCTGCTGTGAACACTGCTCCCGGTCCTTCCATTTCGAGTGCGTCGATCTGCTCGTCGACGAGCCTCTCCCCGATGAATGGTTTTGTCAACGGTGCATCGGGACGAGGTTTCCGACCCGATCATCGGACAAGAGGCCGGGCCATTTCGGTGCCCTCCTGACGGTGCTTGACAAGACCAATCCAGGGGCGTTTGAGCTGCCGCAGCACATCCAGACCTACTTTGAAAATGTGCGAGCTGGTCCTCAGGGGGACTATGAGGAAGAAACCGCCGTGGTGCCCAAGGTTCCCAAGTATGTGAAAGCGTCCTCTTGCCGCCCTCGGCCTTGCGCCCTCGGCGGCGGCGGCGGCCATTGTGCGCATGTCAGCTGACTTGTTACCAGGAAACGAGGTGGTTACGAGGAGGCGCCGGACTTCCACAAAGTCCGCGATGCAGATGGGTCGCCAGTCTTGTGCCACAACTGCCAGCAAGCCACAGCCAGCGACCGTTCCATTATTCCGTGCAGCATTTGTGGTCTGCACTGGCATCTGGACTGTCTCGACCCACCGCTCGCCATCCCGCCGGTTCTGCGCACCTGGGTCTGCCCGGCTCACCATGATGAACTGCTCGCGAAGCTTCCCGGCAGCCTCGCCCCCGCCCACAAGTATCGCAAGATTCGCGATGCCACGGCCATCACCCCACTGTACAGTCGTGGCATGAAGAACAATGGCTTCATCGAGGTCATCAACGACGAGTCGGACAATGACAGCGGATGGAACGACGTCACCTCGTTTGGCCGTACCTACCGCCTGCCTGAGAAGGGCATCATCTTGGATTTTGTTTCACAGTATGTTTTGTTCTGCCGGACTATTGAGGTCCCAGTCACTGACTTGCCCAGGGTTCGTCGGAGGAAACCCGCTGCTCCAGCAGCCCCCGTCGATGAACCACGAGAGGCTGTGCCAGAGTCGCGCCCCACGATCGGCCAGGTGTCGATCACGGAACACCAGGCAGCGCTGAACCTGGCTCAGCTGCGCGAATCCAACAGCGACGGCATCTCTCTGCTCACCACAGCTCTTCTGGTAGGTTTTGAGACGGACCATCCCCCAATGTCGTATTCCCTAACAACTGTCCAGGATAACGCCGATCCTGCTATCCTGTCGCTCATCGCCCGCGGCGACGCCACGAACCTCGCCAGCGGCAACCTGGGCCAGCGAGACCAGCAGAGCCTTCAGGCCATGCTCGCGGAGTGCAAGGCCATGGAAGCACGCATCCACGCTGCGTTGGCAGGCCACAGCGCCATGGCCGGCGAAGGCGATGCCCTATCCACAAAGACGGAGTCGGCCGAGGCCGATCTTCCTACACCTGCCACGACAGCCCCAGATCACCTCGAGTCTGCCAACGGCAAATCCGACCAGGGCGAGGCCGGCATCATGGACGTCGACTAAACTGTCACTCTCACACACACTCTTTCCGACCACGTACTACCCCTTTTCTGTGTCCGAGTATACCACGCGAGACGTGGTATCCGGACTGGGCACGGCGAATAAACGACTTTCTCGATTCTCCATTCCAGGGTCTCCCTTTCCTACTTCTCTCATAAATTGATTCCCCCCCACATTGGCGGATCGCCCGGCGTTGAATGGAGAACTGCGTCTCTTTTTTTTTTTTTCTTCTAGTGCCCGTTCACCCAGCCGCCCCATGTTCGCCACACCCCCCCCCCCCCCCTTGCAAAAACAAAAGGGTAACGGGACGTCCTAGGACCGGCGGGCTCGGGTGGCGCGACGCTTCGGCAGCTTTGGTTTATTACTTTTTCTTTCTACAAGCGCCCCCCTTCGTAGGTGGGTAGGGTGGGAGCGCGAAGGGGTTGCGTTGTCTTGCGGCACTGAGGCTGTTTGGACCTCGTCCCGACGGACTGCGAGGGCGTATCTTTCTCTTGCAGTCGAGTTTCTCTTGCAGCCGAGTTTCTCTTGCAGCCGAGCGAGACGCGGCATGGGAGTTCGAGGGCCCGAATGGCCATGGAGAAGAGAAGAGGGCGAGGCGGACGGATACACTTTTATGAGCGCGGCGGCGCGCGAGGTTTCCCGGTAGGCTAGGGAACGTGTTGTATCATACTTGCCGAGAATACACTTCATTGACGTGACGTCTTGTGCGTGGAGGGCGGGTGCGCGGGATGTGCTCGCAGCTGGTGTGGCAGTCGAGTCGGTGATAAGCATCGCGGGTCTGACCGCTTGTCTTGCAGATTCTGCAATATCTTGGTTCACGTCTGGGATGTAAATGCGCAGCAATGTAGGGGTTCAGATTGGCTTTGACGGTCGGTATATCGTCCATGAGGACTGTAGCTATCGATACCAGCATGTGCGGCCATTCTCTCCATAGCCGCGCCAGGGGCCCTTCATCTGGAGACTAGTAACGGATCACAGAAAGCCTCTCGCAGACATCCTTCAGACGCATCTCGACACGATTCCACCCCCGCGTCGGCCCTCCCCAAACCCCCAATATAGATCCCGCCCAAGAAGCAGGACATCCAAAGCTACCGGCGTCGACCATGACACGTAAGCTCCTGCTCCTCCGAATCCCTCCCAAGCGGCACGTGTCCCGCCCCCCGCCGCCTCCTGCGCGCCACGCTCTGCTTCAGCATGCCGAACAGGCCGGGCATCTCCGAGTCGGGCCCGCGCATGACGGCTGCCGGGTGCGCGACGTTGTAGACCGCAACGGCGAGGGCCATGGGCGCGGCCTCGAGGGCGTAGAAGTAGGCTTCGCGCACGAGGAGCGGGTTGTCGGCCTCGTGGCCCGACGAGAACTCGACGAGGCGGAAGATGATGCGCGTCGTGATCATGGCGAGCGAGATGTAGAGGGCCCACAGCAGCGGGCGCCAGCTGATGGCGGCAGCTGAGGAGGAGGAGGAGGACTTGCTGGCCGGGCTTGCCGTGGCGGCGACGCGGCGCATGTCGCGGTGGAAGACAAGCGTCAGGCCGAGAAAGAGGAGGATGAAGAACTCCTGGAGGGCGATGCCGCCCATGTAGATGTGGATGGCGCGCATCTGCTCGGCGGGCGGGGTGGTGGGCCCGGCCATGGAGCCGCCGGTGAGCTGGACGGCGAAGGAGACGATGTCGAGGGCCACGAAGAGGGCGGCGAGGGTCGAGGCGGGGAGGCCGAGGACGGCTTGCCGGGGATGGAAGAAGTGGATCATACGGCCAAGGGTCATGTAGGCAAAGGCGTTGACCCCTTTGCAGACGACATGTCAGATACCCATGCAGTGAGCTTCCTATGTGGGATCGGATACTCACAAATGGGGGCCAGCAGGATAAAGATTTGGAAAACGAGATATATGCCGCTAGACTGCTGGTGTTTTGTGCTGATGGCGCGGAAGAGGAAGGCTAGGGTCTCCCAGATGCTCGCCATGATGATAACCCAACACCATGCCTGACCTGTTAGACTCTGGTTCTTCGAGAGGGACATGACACCTTGTGTGTGACGTACGGACCTTTTTATACCTGGCGGCCTGCCAGATGTGGATGGCCGTCAGAACCGCGAACAAGATGGCAAAGGCGGCGGCCGCCGCGAAACTGGGATAGTAGTTCCAAAAGGCACCGCACTCTCCCGGCGGTACGTGGCCATTGGAATCCGGCTTGGCAGTGGTGGTGCAGGTTGGAATGGCAATGTCAATCGTCTTGGCGGGCAGAGTGACATGGTCATTTGTCATGCCAGGTATCGTGACATGTTGCGTGGTTGTGAAATACTGCCTAGGTGCAGGTGCTTGGGTCGAGAGTGAGGATATTTGTTCCCGTCTGTCGTGTATAGGTGTAGCAGTCGGCGCAGTAGAGATAGTTCTTGAAGGCAGACAGCTGACAGCGGTGACAATGGCCAACAGGAGTGGTACAGAAAAACGCATGGCTGTAATGACAGAAGTCAAGGAATGAAACAAGAGCGTAGAAAGGAAGTATAAGGCTTGTGGTTGTCGAATTCTAAACAAATCGATCCAAAGTCGACTTGTAGCTTTATATCAATGAGTGCGTTGCGCACCCATGCTCATGAACGACTATTTCTGGGCTCTCCCTAGTTCCAAGCCCCCTGTCGCATGCTTGTTCCTGATCTCAAGTTGCGAACCGACCAATCGCGCGATTCCATTTGCGAAGGGTCAGCCCGCGCTTAAAAGGATAGCAGCACGCATAAGCCGCAGACCTACCATGTTTACTTGCTCCAACTCTGCCTCGCCTAGGCTGCTACTGAGTACCACTCGTCTCGCACCGTAATGGATTCCCCTGGCCTTCTCATCAGATACGCGACCCTCTGCTGCAAGACGATGCCACCGTCGTGGCTTGTTACGGTTTGCTCCTCATTCAGCGTGATCGAGTCTTGGATCCGCTGTTCTTCCGCTGGGAGGGCCTCGTCATCGCTATAAGCCTCCTGGTTGATGTCCAGTCCCCCTTGTAACCCATGTTCCACCTCGATCGTTCGTGCCCCCGAAGCAATCATGGTCCCGTTCTCCCAAAGACTCTCCCTTCCGTAGGCTAGTGTCTTCATCAAACTCAAAGCAGCAACACGCAGCCTCAAAGATCGGCATTTGATAACGACGAATGCTAGCAGCGGCCCAAATCCCATCTCAAACGTGAACTTTGGGCTCGCGCGGACGTTACGCAATGCCTGCCTCCGCACTTCGGCTTGCCGCGCAAGTTCTATGATGGCACGGAACTTGTCGAGGTGAAGATCATACACCATCTCCCCCCTTGACAAGCACGTATCGATCCAGATCTTGGCAACAAACCATTTCATGCCTAGTAGGCGCTCGACGATTTGCGTCCGCATGTCGTTGGGGTCGTGCTGTGGACTCTTCTGCCCCTGATACGTGTGGAAAGCCTTTGCCCACTCGTCTAGAGCTGTGTCCAGTCTGACCCGCTCACGCAGGGTCGTCATGCCGGGCTCATCGTTTGTCCACTGCCCTAGCCGATACTCATCAGAAGATCGAACAAATCGAATGACCTGCAGGACGAGCGGATCGAGAGAGAACTGGGCCTCTGCGATGGTCCAGAACGTGGTGGGCTTGTGTGGTTGACGGGTCGTGATTTCAGGAAAAGATTCGGGGCGGGCGCCGAAGAAGAAGGGAAAGATGGCCATGCGATAAAAGGTAGGCAACAGTTGGTCGCAGACGACGGACGAGTCCGCGCGGTTCCCGGCCACCATGTTGATGCCATGCCGACAGTGACTGACGGCACCCTCGCAGTCACCGCGCAACATGTCAATACAGGTGAACAGAATGCAGACGAGCAGCACGGCCTCCTGGCTGTTTGTGGTCCTCAGGTGCCTGATGGCCTCGTTGTAATGCTTGACAGCGAAGGCATCCTTCTCGATCAAGGGCGACCTAGCAAAGCCCTGCTGGAAGTTCTCGTACAGCGAGCTGATAGCAAGCACAGCGTGCCTCGCGGCTTGCTCTTGGTGGGTGAACTGAATCACCAGGTGGGTCCAGAAAAAGCCATCCAGGGGTCCTGCGAGAACAGGGGCGACGACTTCACGGAAGAAGCCCAAGGCGCGGAGTTCACCGGCAGCGTGGGTGGCGGCAGGGCTCGGCGTTGGGCTGGAGCGTAGCAACTGAGCCCAAGAGTAGCTGGCGGTGGAGGGTGTGGAGTAGCCGTCACATGCCCTGCCAGTCGTGACACAGCGTCGACAAGCGGGACGCGCCTCGTCACATTTTATCCTGCGAATCCTGCGCAGTGGTCAACATGTGTTTATTGTTTCCCTCCGAAGGAAAGATGGAAAGAGATGGAGAGGGAAACATACTTGCAGGTGACGCAACCCGTCTTTACTCTGGAGATGCCGGATCGAGCCATGATGCGGAGTAGGCCAGGAAAGGGGAAGCCAGGAGAGGCGAAGAAAGGGGACGCACGAAACAAGGCAGGCGGCAGCTGAGCATCACAGGAGAGATGGCTCAAGAATCGGTCTGAAGAAGGATAAGAGGTCCAGGACTGAGAATGTGGCCTGACATGGTGCTGAAATCGGCCAGAGAATCAATGAACGGCTAGGCAGCAAGATAGCAAAGGCTGGAGGAGGAGGAGGAGGACCGACGAGGAGAGGTCCAGAGACCAAGTTCAGACCGGCGGAAGGAGGTTGAGCTCCAACATCCACGTGGGGCAGGAGCTACCGTACAGGGCTGAGTCGAATCTCAGGCCCACTAAAAGGCCCACTCGAACCCCTGTCCGATCCATGAGCGGGGCATTTGCGAACCGGCCAATACGCATCAGCCATGGTCCCACTGCCACTTCCACTACCACTTGCACTCATCTCATTTCATGGCAAGAAGGAGAGAGCCCCATTCAGCCTTGCCTTGGGACAACCAAACTCAACAACTTTCATCTCCTACAGATATCGCCCTCTGACGAGTTTCCATTACTAGCCTGAATCATGACCTCGAAGTCGTCAGCCGAATCATCATGCTATTCGTATTCGCTACGGCGCCGATATCTAGGCACCTGACCTACCGCGATCACTGGGGCATCAACCAAATCACCCTCCGAATGCCTCGCCTTGTTCGACGTTAACCCACCGGCCTCATAGCCTTATTCGAAAGCTTGTGAAGCTTCAGAGGCAATGTGATCCAGGCCTCGATGCACAAAACTCGCCGCTTCTTTTACGTTCAACAGACTCATGCTCCTCCGCCGCAGGTGTGCCATACATGTCAGGTGCAAAGACAGAGGAGGAGCCAACCAGCGTGTAGAGATGTGCCCACGAATCACCTCGGCGACTCCTCGTGTTCTCTTGAGCCGCACAGCTTGCTGACCCGCGACCAGTCGTCTCGCCGGGTAGCAACAGAGCGCCGACCCAGCTTCGCGCTGCCCATCTCTCGGGCGGACGCCGTCTACAGGCTTGACGTTGTGATCTATGCGAGCCTGCAGCCCTGCCCAAGTCTATGAACGTCCACGTCGAGCCCTCTGATGCCGGTATAGACCATCCATTCACGCGTGATGACATGGTGCGCGAACCGCTTCTACATGTGAAGGCCAAGGAGCAGGAAAAGAAGAGGACATAAGGGCGCATTGCAGACCAGCGATGGAGACCTTGAGAGGCTGGAAGTTGAGACGCCCGACTCCACACTCTGACCGAAAGATTCATCACTTTTATATGAGGAAAACAGCTCTTCTTGACCGTGTTCTGTCCCATTTTCATGTGACGTGCTTTCTCGGGCAGAATTCAATCTCGGGGCTCAGGAGACACGGTAGGAACACCGAATCGCACTGATGGGGGTGAGGACGAGGACCGCCGTCGCGAGCTCGAAGTGAGCACCAGCGGCGGCCGCCGCAGAGGCAATACGGAGATTAATGCGGCCGACGGCACGAATCCCACGAAAGTAGCCGTCACTATAGCGCCAACAGCCGCAACTACGACTCCAACGACCGTAACTACGACTTGCACGACCGTACTTACGACTCCAACGACCTTCACTACCACCATCACGTTCATCGTATGTTTCTTTCCCATGCTTCCCCTTTCCTCCTTCTCTCCCTGTTCTTCCGTTTCTTTTTCTCCTTTCTCTCCACCTCCCCTCTTCGCTCTCTAGTGACGTACGTGTTTCTGACCCCACGAAAACCAGACCACGGCAGCCAGAACTCCGAGCCCCACCCCTCCGACAAGATCGGGAACGCTCTCGACGACATTGCACAGACCCGCGCGAGCAACCGCAGGAACTACGCAAAGCTCGAAGCCCTCAACCGAGAGTCCGAAGAGGCCAAAAAGCAGCAGGCGCGGCGCCAGGACAAGATCACCAGTCTCCTCGTAAAGCTCCAACCCAGCGAGGCCCACTGCGCACGCCAGAAGGACCTCATCCGACGCCTCAAGCCCCAGGCCGACGAGGCCGCCGGCTACGTCTGGTGGCCCACAAACTACGAGCGCGCCCGGTGCTACGAGGAGATCATGATCGAGCCCGCCGTCGTGGAGGAGGCTGGGCTGCCTGCCCTGCCGCTTGCTCCTGCTCCCGCTGCTAGGCTTTTGGGGGGATTTGAATGAGCAGCCTGTGCCCTTGGCTTCTTGAGTGCCGGTGCTGGTCCTCACTCTCACTCTCTGTGTCTCTCTGTCAGTTATTCACATGGGCATTTTGGAGGTTACGTGGGGCCTTGTCTTATGATGTGAACATGATCAGTGTTTTTCTCTTCTTCCTTTCTAGGACTTGTATTCCCCCTTTTCTGTAAACCGTTGACTGGAACATACCAGTCGACACCCTCCGAGAGAGGAAGGTTGGCTGGGCACCGTCCCTTCTTCCTGCCGAGCGAAGACCCGATCGCTCGGCGACCTCCATTCCATTCGTACTTGAATAATACTTCACTTTCTTAGCAGTAGTCACGTTCAAGAAATATAACACAGAACAGCAACGTCAAGGAGGCATGTGGTGAAGACTCAAGAGTTATTTTCTTGCAAGAAAGCCAAATTGAACAGGCGTAGCTATCGACATGGTGTGTGACGTTCCCTCACAGAAGGATCTCTCTCTCTCTCTCTCTCTCTCTCTCTCTCTCTCTCTGTCTCTCTGTCTCTCTCGTGCTTACCTCACGCCGATCACGCGCGTTGTTTGCTTTGGCATGTCTCCCTCGTCATGCAGCCCTCGCGTCACCAATTTCAGCCCGCCCACAGCCCATCCATCCCTCGGCGGCGTTGTCGCCCTTTCTCGTCACAGAGACAAGGCGAAATAGTCCCCCGCTTTTCATGACAGCGCTCTCTATATACACCAACGCCCTCCCCGGGGATGGACAGGCGGATCGGAACATGACAAGAGGGGAAGCACGGGCTAGATGGCCGCCCGCCCCCCTTGTCCCCTCTGTCGCCGGTCCTTGAGACAAAGATGATGCTTCAAAGCCAACGTGGAATCGAGACAAGCCGCAGAGAAGAAGGAAAAGAAATCACTCGGGAAAAACCACAGAAACTCTCGCATGTACCTCAAAATATTCCTGCAACGCCAATGTGCCGAGTCTTCTCCATTTCCCAAAAATTCTTTTGCATGCTGGACACGGGTCGCCTTGACCTCATCCAGTGGTCGTCATTTGGCAATGGAGCGTAGGGAGTCCGAGACGAAGCGCGGGGCTGTCAAATCATCGCTTCAAAGGGGCGGACGTTAGTTCTTGGTTGTCTTGCGCTTCTAGCGAGGATGCCCAGGGTGGGAACGACCTACTCGACCGCGTCTGCCATTGACCTGTTCCTGCTGCATGTAGCCCATGTTCTGCATGCCGTTGAGGTTCTGCATACCGCCCATGTTCCCATTGTAGCCGTATCCACCTGGCATGCCCATGTTCATGCCATAGCCAGGGGCTCCGTAGCCTGGGGCAGGGCCCATGCCGGGCGGGACCTGAGCCGCAACCGGCTGGATCGGGCTTCCATTGGGCATGTTTTGGTTCCTGTAGTGGTCCATTGACGGGCTAGGGCTGAAGCCGGCCTGCATGGGAGGAAAGAAGTTGGGAGGGGTGCCACGTTGAAGCATGCTCTGCTGATACTGCATCTGCTGCAGGTTGGCCGGGGTGGGAGGCATCTGGTTGGCCGGGTTGAACATGGCGGGGTTCTGAACTCCGTAGGAAGGGAAGGGAGTCATGTTGGCGTCGGCTGCGTCGTTCCGCTGGCCATTGAAGCCGCCTGCATCGTAGTTGGGGGTAGATGTGGGGTTCATCTGGTTGTAGAACTGCTTGTTGCCGGGCGCAGCCTGCTGGTGGCCGTTGATGTTTGCTTGGCGAGACGAGGGGCGCTGACGCTGTTCGTTGCTGTGATCACGGGAGGCACCACCGGACGCGTTGCGCGTCGAAAGGCCGACCTCATCCATAAGGCGCTTGTAGCCCTGACCCGGCTGTGCCTTGATGCGGATCAAGACATTCTTCACGTTCTCGACGACCTGGCTGCGAATCGTCTCGTCGAAGAAGGGCGTCGTGAGCACCTTGAAGATGAGTGTCGCTCCGCAGGCATGGTCGCTGAGAATGGCCTCCAGCACGTGATCCTTGGGCGTGAAGAACAGGGCCTTGAGGATTGTGTCGCGGGCCTCGGGCTCGGCCTTCTGGTTGATGACCTTGAGAACAGTGAGGTACGCAACCTTGTGAGTGCAGAGGTGCACCAGATAGGGAACGAGTTGCGGCGAGAGGACCGTGCGGCGCTGAGGGAAGGTACAAGTATCGAGGAACCAGGTGAGAAGCAGTGCGCCGTTCGCATTGGTCGCCAGCTGCACGCTGTGCAGAGCGATGACGGCAGCAAGCATGCGCTGCTGGTCCTTGGTAGAGTGGTGGCTCTCAAGGCAGGCCCTCATGGCGCGAGCGCCGTAGCGACCTTGAGCGACATCCCACAACCTACCGACCATGGTCTCGAAAATGAAGTCATTGTACGGCGCACCGAACTTGAGGCAGCCTTGCAAGACGTAGTTGCCGTACTGGTCCAGGAAAAGACCAATGGTGTAGGGGCGCAAGTGCTCCACGATCAGCATCATCTGCTGCGGCGTCTTGCAGACATCAATGATCTTCTGCGCCGCCCAGGTGCCGTTCTTGTGCACACCAATCTCGGCCATGTGAGGTGCAATCTCGGCCAGCATGGCGTCACGCAGCTCATCCGAGCAGTGCTCAAAGAGCTTCTGTACGACCGTGTTGCCGAGGTAATCGGAGGAGAGCTCGGCGATCTCCGGGAGCATGTCGACGGCGATGTTCTCAATCTCTGACTTTGACAGGCTCTGGTTGTCGATCCTCTTGCGAATGTCGCGCAGCTTGGGGGCATCGTGGACACGCGAGTGCGCGGGCTCACGGATAGGAGGGATCTCTTCGACGAAAGCGTCGAACTGAACGGCGGATTGCAGGTTGCCGGATATCCTGTACAGATCCTCCTCCGAGGCCTGGAACTGCTTGACGATCTGGAGGATGTCGGCGGTTGACTCCTGCAGGGACGGGGCGTTGGGAGGAGTGTTGGCAGAGCGAGCCGGCACAGTGGAACCGTCTGCTGGGTTCGAGGCAGATCCAGCGCCACCCTGACCATTCTCTTGTCCTTTGGCGAAGGGATCAGGGCTGGGCGAAGGGAACACACCGTCGTGACCGGGGGTGTTTGAGGCAGAGGGGGGCTTGGCAAAGTTGATACGGATAGGGCCAGCGCCGGGGAAGATCTCTTTACCGTTCATGCTCGCTTTGGCCGTGATGGCACTCTCAACGCGCTCGAAATTGACGAAGCCACAGTTCTTGTGGGTGAGAACTCGCGCAGACAAGATCGGGCCATAGGACTTGAACATCTCGGTCAGGGTAGAGGTGGTGGTGGAGGTGGGAATGCTTCCCAGCCACAGAGCACTGGTAGGTCCCTCAAGTCCTTGATCCTCAGCGTTCAGCAGACCGGCGTTTCGGCTGTTGGACCGTCCCAGGTTCATAGCAGCGACAGCCTGCGGCAGCTCATCGTAGTCTTTGTCGTCGGGGTGGCGAAGTTCGGCGGAAGAGAGCGAGGGGGGTCCGCCGCCGTTGCTTGGAAGGTATGTACGCATCAGTCGCGAACCGGGAGTGTCCAGGACACCAGCCGTTCGCGCGCGAGGACGGCTAGCTTGGTTGACAAAAGCCTGCACCGCCATGTTATGGCTGTGAATAGCAGCATTGGTGGCGGCGAGCTGATCCTGCAGCTGGGCTGCGTACTGGCTCTCGAGGTACATGCCGTCCATCTCGTCGTAATCATCCTCCTCGTCTGCGTACTTGTCCTTGTTGTTCACCGAATAGGATCGGAAGCGGCTAGCTTTCGACAAGTCGTTGTAGTTGGCAGGCAGGTACGGGGTGGCAAGCTGGGCACGGGGCGGCTGCGGCGTCTCGGCGAGTCCTAGGTAGTCAAGAGTCCGCATGTGGACATCATTCTCGCCCGCGCCTTCCTTCGAAAAGTGAGACTGGGCCGGGGAGCTCGGTCCGTTGGAACCAATGCTTGCGATGCTAGCCAGAGTCGAACCACGCTCACGACCGACGCCGGCAGGATTCCAGCTACTGAAGATGGAGGGGCCAAAAGGGGAGCTGGTGCCGGGTACGTGAGCGAACGGGCTCCGCTGGGGCATGGATCCGGCACGAAGGCGGGACAGCAGCGCGGAGCTGCTGGAGGATTGTTCGTTGCCGTCGAGGGCCGGCGAGGGCGACTTGAGCGGGGTGTGGGAAGGCGTGACTCGGTTAGACCTCGACAGGCCAGGCGGAAGGTTTGGTCCGCCGGGTGAGAAGCGGGAGGGCAGAGTGCCAGCTCGGGCACGGCGAGCTTGGGGCAACTCGGAAGCAGGCATAGGAGGGGCAAAGTCGGGGAAGCCATCGGTGGGCGATTCGGGGATGTTCTCGCGGAGGGGCGTCGAGTTGCCACTTGTAGGAGGTCCGCCCCAAGGGTTGAGGGGAAGCCCAGGAATGCCTTCTTGTGCCTGGATCTCTCTGGCTCTGTGTTTCTCGAGGTTAGCACGATGCGAGGGCAGATCTTTGGCATGCTTGACGGCAAGGAGGGAAGGAGGGCCAACAAACCTCTTGGAGTATAACCTGCTTGAACCCGGCATTTCGTGCGACGGAGAGCCAGTCCCTGATCGCGAGTTGGATGCTATCTTGCCAGGAGGGTTCAGGCCAGGGGGGAGGCCAAAGGAAGAGCGAACACCGGACGCGAGTGCGGAGTCCGCGGGCGATGTGGAGGAAGGGGAGGTCGAACGGGTCTGAGATGCCGACTGAGGCGGATACCCGATGGGCAATTGATCGGATCTCGAAGTTGACATTATCAATTACTGTTACCGGCGACGATCATCAGATACTATTTGGTTTCTCTTCTCTTTCTGGTGACACGAAGCGCGCCGTGGCGATGGTGATCTGTTGACGGGGGAGGGTGTTGGAGAAGAAGAGAAAAAAGGGTTGAAACGGAAGACCGAGTTGGCGCAGAAGAAATCGTAGACGTTGAGGGAAGCAATACCGATAGCGACCGGTATTGTGTCTTGCGTCGGATTCCCCAGGCAGGACGAGATGCCAAAGGGGTTCAAGGCCGGGGAAAGTAGGCTCGTCAACAAGGGGGATCTCGTTTCGTTTGCGAAGGAGCGAAGGTCGAAGGCGAAAAGGGCTTTGATGTCAAGAAAAAGCCGTCGTGTTGCGAGAGGTATTACAAGGGGAAACCCGCGTCGGAAGGTCTTCGAATGTAGGCGATGTGATGAATCGGGTAGACGAGAAGACAACGGTGTCGTTCTGGTTCTTTTGACAGTCAAGGAATGTCGGGGCGGGAGCCGTTCAACGGTGAATGTGCGGCGTGGCTATGTCCGTCCGTCTCGTCTATGTGTGGTGTGCGTATCTGCAGGCAGGCTGGCTGTCTGGCTGGACAGGTGGTCACTCGATGGATGATGGACGAGTTTGCGTTGAAAGGGCAAAAGACAGGGTCGAGACCAAGGACGAGGTCGTCGAGGCAGGGCTCAGCGAGATGATCCCGGATGACTTGGGTGCTGCCCTGTTTTTTTTTTCCTGGTTCTGTGACTGGAGACACCTAGAAGCAGGCGACTGGGGGAAACCGATCCGATGGGGCAACGTAGCGGGACCGATTCCCAAGTCGAAGTACGTCTCGTCAGACTCAAAGTCAATTCGTCCTTGCTCCCAGAGTCGTATGTGAGGGGACAAGGAGAGGAGAAGGGGGGAAGGGAAGGACAAAAAAAGGGCAAACGTGTCAATATACAGACGGCATTAGTAGGAGGTGATGCGCCTGGAGAATGGGATGAGGGTGGGAAGAGGAAGTCGAGAAGAGGTTTGTGATTTGGACGTGGGACTTGGCTTGGGGTTGGCCACCTGTGGCAGGATGTAACTTGGGGTTGGGGACCGTGTGGATGGGATGAGGGGGCGGAACCCCCCCCTGGTAGTGAGCACTGTGCGATGCCTTGCTTTTAGAGCGACCAGCGGAACGGTACTGTACACAGGTGGACGACGATGGGCTGTCGTCTGCTGTGCGGTGTCGCTCGATCCACTAATTGTGGGATGCTACAGTGCCCTCCTCACGGTGCGAACAGGCAACAAGGCCAGGTACCTGTGAACCTACCCAGGGCGGTAGGACGGGAAGGTGCCCTGGCTGCTGCCCACAGCAGCACGACACAGCACCCTACGCGCTACCTTGGCCCTGGTTCCCATCTCAGGCACGTCAACCTGATATGAAACGACATGTACCGACTTGAAGCTGGGTCGTGGGCTCCGGCATATGACTATCTTTGGAATCATATTTCTTCGGTTTGGTGCCCCCTGGACCAACCACAACAGCACGAGAGCGAAGATACGATCGACCAAAAGTTGGAAGTCCATCTCAATTGGGATTTGCTTCGGGCGATCACCACCAGTTCAAGGTTTCCGTTACTCTTTGCCTGGAGAGCTACCCAAAGCCAAGAAGTCGTGAGTTTCCGACATCGAGTCTTGCCCATTCGCCGAGGCAAGACGATAAACTCTCTTTCATGATCAACCGGAGCACGCAACTGCTCGCTCGACCACTCGTCAGTCTGCATCGCCAGACTGTTCATCCCGTTGCCTCTCACTCAATTGCTCTCACTCAGTTGACAACCCTTACGCACGACCTTCGCTCCGACCGTCTGTCGTCGCTACCCTTTCCGCTACGGGACCACAGGCGAGTCAAGAGTGCCCCTATTCGTGCTCGTCCAGCCAAGCATCTCGTGCAAGTCACACCGCTAACTCCTATTCGTGGGCTGTAGTGCAGCAGGTAAATTGACAGCCGCGCTTGAAACCCCCTCGACCCGTCCGGCACCCAGGCCCCACTATGGTGCGCTGGGACTGGATCGATGCCACACGCGATCGGATCAGAGAGGGGGAAGGGGGGGAGCAAGGAAAGCCTGTCGGTTTTAGGCTGGCAGGTCAGATCACCTACCACACACACACACACCCACCACATACCACACTCGGCCCAGCGCAGGGCACAGGGTACGCAGCGGGAGGATCTGCCGCTTGTCGACGGTGGCCCCCCTCCTACTTTGGCATGTCTGTATGATGGGTTCTTCTCCCTCGGCGCCTTTTCGATGGGGGGGCTTGCTTGAATAGCAGCAATCACCTCGAGCTGCAACGCCAGGCTTTCGGTCAAGGAAGGTGCCGAAGAAGCAAGGAAGAAGAACAAAAGCCGCGAGACTGTGTGAATGCATGACAGGAGAACACGGTGGTAGAAAAAGGGGCCAAAAGAAAAGAACCCCTGAGCTAGGTCCCTTTCTGTACCCCCATTGGCCGCTCTTCCACATGACGACCACAATGGGAGGCAGGAGGTACATAGGTACATGTAGGAGGCAGGAGAACCCCAGAGATGGGTTTTGCCCGCCCAATCACAACTGGACTGGTCCCGGAACCCCGCCGCCTGAGACCGAGAGCTGACCCTGCGCACCCTTTGTGCTTGGATCGTGGCTTAGCGTGCACAAGTCAGCCACACTTTCATAAAGTCACCGTTGAGTCTCCACCCAACCGTAAACTCGGGGATCATCACACGGGTATCATGAATGACGGGTTACCATGTACCTGTCATGCACCTATCCGGAAGGAAGGGAAATACACTGTTGAAGATGACTGGTCGCAGTACTACAGGGCCTTCGGTCCCTGCAACGAAGACAGACCCTGGGCCTATATCCACTGCTTATTTCCATACTGTGATACAAACGCACCACCAAACCCACCTTCGATGCTGGCCTTCTCGAATGTGTCCGTCACAAGTCGGACGGATTCCTCTGGAGTGAGTGGACCCTTGAAGTCGGGTGCATAGGCTGGAAGCTTATCCGTGAATGATGCGAAGCCCTTGAGCTGCTCTGGGGTAGCTGGGGTATACATTAATACGACGACGACATCCTTCCATCATCAAGACGAAGAAATTCTCACCATCTGAATAGCGGCCCACCTCCACCAAGCCCGGGCTGACACTCAAGAAAAGTACACCGTCTTTCTTGTACTGCGTGCTGAACTTGGACATGACAGCATTCATGGCTGACTTGGAGGCAGTATATAGCGGGCTCGTATCAACGTCCAAAGCGTTTGTAAAGTCGAGGTCGGCATGCCCAGAGGAGATGAAGATGACCTTCTTGACTTTGCCCTTCAAAACAAAGGGCAAGAAGAGGTGAATGAGGTGGATGTTGCCAACGACATTGGTCTGCCACAGCTCTAATCCAACAGCCTCCAGCTCCTCGGGCCTGTCGCTCCTGTTGGAAACACAGCGTTTAGCACATGCCAGCTCGGAGAGCCGCGAGAGAGAAGCGGTGCACTTACAAGTCACCGATGGGGCCGTAGACGTCGAACAGGGGCACCACGCCTCCGTTGGCAATCAGGTAGTCGACGCCACGCTCGCCGACGATCTGAGCCGTGTCGGCAGCCGCCTGCTTCAGGCTGGCATACTTTGTGAGGTCTGCGTGGAGGATGTGGACATTGGGACGGCTGCCGAGCTCCGTCGCTACCTTCTTTTCCGTTCCAGCCTTATCGCGGACCAGACCAAGGACAAGGTTGTTTGAATCTTCCGAGAACTGCCTGAGAAACTCGAACTGGCCTGGATTAGGTACATGTGGCACGTAGCCTGGCACGAGGCAGACTCACCCCAATTCCCTTGGATGCTCCAGTAATGACGTACACGGCCATGATGATTTCGACGAGTGAATGATATCTCCAACTCCGAGGGATCGGTGGACAACTACTTCAAACTGACCACCATGTCAGACGTCACGTTCTTAAGTAGTGTCCGCTTATTAATGGAAGGGGATGGTCCTTTGTTTCCACCTGCCAAGTTCGGTGTGTTTGTTCCCCGTGGCATGCAGACCTGCCTCCAACACGCCTTGGCACCATGTGTCGTACGTCACCCAATGAGTTCTGCGGCTATTCGTCCTGTTGAGATGATACGAGGGGAGAGGGGGAGGCGGACAAACTTACCCTTTCTTCCCATTTGATGTTACACTGCACTATCTGCATCCCACGCATGCCTACGAGGCATGTCGGTGAAGACGAGCAATCGGATCGGATCCCGGGTCCTTACCGAGAGAATTGCGTAACTTTGTGCGCCTCCGCCTCCTTTACGAAAATTTAGCCGGGCGAAAAGGGGGCCAACGGTTGGGTATGCACAAGTTAATGAGCCTTGGATGGCGTCCCTTTGCTCGCAAAGCGAGAGGGGATGAACAATAAGTACAGATACCTATGAAAGCCCCCACGTATTAGTGCATATGCAAGTCTTGCACCAAGGGGCGATCGAGGCAACTATGCGCAAGCCTTATGTACAACTTGACGAGGTTGCAGGCATGCAACCCCCCTCGAATACTCTCGCGAGCTCGCCATGCCGAGCATCTGTCTGCTCCAGTCCGTGGATCGACAATTTACTTGTTGACCTAATTCAAGTTCTGGAAGAGTTGAAGAACACTAACTTCTCTCCCCGTTTCCCTTCTTGTCACGCACGATATTCACATTCTTACTTTACCTCCGTCTTGAGACCGCTCCAAGTCACCATCAAGCCTTCGTACTGCATCCGAAAATGGCTTCAACAACATCAACCCAACTCCCAACCAACTACAAGGGACTTTACTTCACTTCGCCATCTGCTCCCCCAGAGATTGCCTCCTTCCCCACCCCTGCGGCAGATGTCGGGTCAGTGATCGTGAAAACGCTGTACTGCTGGATCCCAGGGTACATCAACGACGTCTATTCCAGGGGCAACCCGCGCCAGTATCCTGTCCCCTTCCCTCTGATAGGCGGCACCAACGCGGTAGGGCGCGTCGTCGCCGTCCCCCCGGATGCCGCCAAGTTGAAAGTCGGTGACCTCGTGGTTGTCGACCCCACGATCCGCCCGCGCGACGACCCGGGCCAGATCATGCTCCTCGCGCTGCTTGCTGCCACAGGTGAGATGCAAGCAATTGCCAAAGATGTCTGGCATCACGGCACCTGGGCCGAGCTGGTGAAGGCCCCCATCGAGTCCGTGCATCGCTTCGACGAAGGAGCTTTGCAGAAACACGGCGTCAGCCCCCGCGACCTCGTGTTTTTCGGACAGATGGCCGTTCCGTACGGCGGCCTTCGGGACGTGAACCTCACGGCGGGCGAGACCGTCTTGATCAGTCCGGCGACGGGGAACTTTGGCGGCGCGGCCGTGCACGTCGCCCTCGCCATGGGGGCCCGCGTCATCGCCATGGGCCGCAACGAGAAGGTCCTGGAGGAACTCAGGGACCTGGCGCCGGGACGGGTCGAGACGGTCAAGCTTAGCGGCAGCTGGGAGACGGACCTGTCCGAGATCTCGAGATTCGGCCCTGTCGACGTCTTCCTCGACATGACCCCGCAGACCGCCACGAACACCGACCACATTCGCGCCGGGATTTTCTCCCTCCAGGCCGGTGGACGGGCGAACCTCATGAGCGGCGTCCCCGAGATCTCGATCCCCATACCGCTCCTCCAACTCAAGGGCATTACCATTCAGGCGACAATGATGTGTACTTGGAGTCAAGAGGAGGATCTCGTCAAGCTTGTGCAGACCGGAGTCTTAAAGCTGGGCGAGAAGGCGGGTCTGAAGATCCACAGGGCCTTCAAGATGGAGGACTTTGCCGAAGCGTTGCAAGTAGCTGGGACGGAGTCTAACGCTAGTCGATCTGTTGTGTTCACCCCTAATGAAGAGTAAGGGGAAATAAGGGGCGGGCTTACACTGATGATGGTACCTGTTCTATGTCATTGAGAAGAAGATAGCTGATTGATAAAAGCAAGCCGAAAGCGCCTGACGACATACGCGACAACGTCCTTGCTGGCTGCCTAAGCTTGTATGTTGTTGGTGTGCTTCCTATTTGTCTTGGAAAGCCATTGGATTGAGTCGAATCAAGCAGCGTGAACTTCGGAAGCAGGCTACATCTCAACGGCGCATAGTATTGTTACGCTCGATGATTCGGGTTTGGGTGAGAAATGCGATACATCTTCGCTGGTGACTGTGTCCCTGTCCTGCCGAGGAGGTATCACTCGCGATTGACATCAAAGCACAGCATTGTAGAAGCGGTCGGTGTTGTTGACCTCGGTCTAAGGGCTGGCGCCAGACAAGTCATGCCACTGTTGATCCAAGCTTGGTATTTTGCTGCGTCTAAAGCGACTAAATTCATCACGAGTGGAAGAGCGTAAAATGATCGCGCAAGGAGGGAATGCTGATCATTGTTTTGTGTGAGCAATGTCGCTCAGATCTGGAATCTAGGGAGTTTTAAATCCTCACAACTAAGAAGAAAGATCTTGTAAAGGGTATGAGTTTCTTCAAACACACCCCTCAGCCACCCCTTCAGAGTACGTACAAACGGCTTGTGCCCTCCGGTTTATTCAACAACGATGGGATTGTAGAAGCGGAAGCGGTTGTTGGGATCGTACTGGGCCTTAAGGCCTCGCAGCCTCTCGATGCGCCAGCTCTCGTGGCCGTACCGCTCCTCGAGGGTCTCGAAGCTGGTGGCGTAGTTGAGGTAGACATTGCCGGTGCGGCCCGGCTGGCCCGCGTTCCACTGGTCACTGACCTCGGCGGCCCAGACCCTGGCTCTCTCCTCTAGGGCGCTATCGCGGTCTGTTACTGCCGCGTTGAAGAACATCAGGTGGCGGTCGGCGCGGAAGGGGTACGCCGAACTCGCCGAGTCAATGGCCTCAACTCCGGCCGTCGCGTAGCCTTCGTGCATGATGCCCGTCACAGCCGCGAGGTCTGGGTCTTCGATCGCGCGCTTGCTGAACCCCTCGTAAATGAGGCGCTCGGCCGTCAGGTTATAGACTTGGAGACCTGCTGTCGACGAGATATGCACACCGTCGTGCTGGCAGATGGGGTCGGACATGCCTGTGCCCTGCGCATGGGCGATTTGCGAGTAAGGCACGTCGCCAAACTCCTCGTAGGCGGCCTCTATAGCGTTCATGGGGGCGAGATGTTTCTCGGCCTCCTCGGAGGTGCCACGGTAGGCAAACGTCCAAGAGAGAACAGGCTCCTCACTGCTCACGGAAGCGTCTATCATGAAGGTTCCAACGTTGAAGGCCATATCAATGGGAGTTGAGCCGTTACCATGGAAATGATTGAGGGCATTGAAGACAGCCTCCAACTGTTCACCGCGCCAGATGTAGTTGTGGTAATGCCAGGTGTCGGGGCCCCGGGGAAAGATGTTCATCTCATAGCTCGTGACAATGCCGAAATTGTGCCCGGCCCCTTTCATGCCCCAGAGAAGGTCGCTGTGGCTCGTGGTATTGATGCGGATGGTGGAGCCGTTGGCCAAGACAACGTTGAGCTGCAGCATATTGTCGCTGATCATACCGTACAGGCCTTCGTAGCGACCGTGACCACCCCCAAGACCGGCGCCTAGCATGCCGACGCATTCACACCCGCCGGTGGTGGTGACAAAGCCCTTGTCCCACAGATGGTGGATGACTGGGCCTACGAGGGTGCCGCCTCCGAACCATGCCGACTTGCTGCCGGGTTGGATGGTGATGTTGTTGAGCTGCCGCATGCTGATCTGGACGCCACTGAATGTACTAAGACTTGCCGCCACGCCGTGTCCGCCGTTGAGTGCCAAAAAATCGATGCTGTTCGCGTTGCAGTATTGGACCTTTCGGAAGCAGTGTCAGCATGTGGGATCTCTCCTTGTAGTCGGTGGCGGTTTGAGGTCTTACAATTGTCGCGACGTCTGATTCAGTTCCTGGCTCAATCACAACCTGGACGTCAGGCTTGGAAGAGTCCGTCCATCTGGAAGTGGCCTCTTCGAAACGGCAAGCTTCCGGTCCGAAGATCAAGGTGGTATTGGAGACCCGGAGGCCGAGTTCTTCTCGGATTTGTTTGGCGGTCAAGTCACGACGTGTGATCGCTTGCTTCTCAAAGTATCTGGGGATGCTGGCACCAGCTGCAAGACCCCAGAGAATACAGAACAGTGAAAGTATCGAGGCCTTCATTGCGACAGTCGTATTGTGATGATCAACCTTGTGGTGGTATCGGTGCTGCAGTTAGGTCGAGCATCTGGCTTGGTTTTCACTCAACAGGACCGAGAACTGACATACATGGGCCATGCCAACCAATATCAGCGCAGACAATTCCCACTCCCAGGGGGGGATTTTTTTCCGCCAGTACGGGCCGTCTCACCCAATGGGCAGGGGTAATAAACTTGCTATTTCTAGGAATCTGACGTTACTCTACATAATACAAGTCGATGACACTATCAGAAGGATTCGGGCGTAAATTTGCTTGCTCATTAAGTCTACTTGCTGACTGCAGCCTTCTCGAGCGGGGCTGCTATCATTTTGGACCGGAGTTTTTGCCCCCTCCCGTGATATATGCAGGTGAGCCGGCACAAAGCCTGTAAGGCAACTAATGATCTCAAGTTGGACCCCTTGTTGATTCTGTGCCATTCCCCGTGCATGTGCCCTGATTTGTCGCTCCTAAACACACTGGGCCGAGAGTGTCTACACACTCTGCTCTACCTGGTAAGATTGCGATGATGATTGATAAAGATGGTGATAGGTCCGGTCTCTTCAGCCTTGGTAATGCCACCGACATGACTTTCACTTCGATCCTTCAGCCCGCGGCTCTCTCGACAATCCCATATCACCCGTCATCATACAAATCCAGCCAACTTTTAGCGACCTTAGAGATTCCGCATCAGTTCTACCCATCATACTCCGGAGAGTACCACTCTCTTCATCCGCCATGGATGAAGTAAAAATCTACAGCAGGCCAAGTCATGGCATCTTTCGCTTCATACCAGACGCATGGGTCCCGTACGCCGAACTCATGCGTCTCGACCGTCAGTCAGGGTTCTGGGCCTTCTACTGGCACTACTTGATAGGACTTGGTTTTGCCATCAATATCCCCCCTTTCTCCAGCGATCTCGATCTAAAGGCGCTCGTGTTCCTCGCAGCGTACTTGGGACTATGGACTATAACCTTCCGCGGCATTACCTGCACATGGAACGACAACCTAGATCAGGACTTTGATCGCCAGGTCACCCGCTGCCGACTGAGGCCCATCCCACGAGGTGCTGTCACGACGGCGCAGGCGCATATCTTCACTGCTGCACTGATCGCCCTAGGGGCCTGCATCTTGTACCCCCTCGGCGACTCGACTCGGGCTCACGCCGTCGTAGATGGGGTTCTCTTGTTCATCTACCCCCTTCTGAAGCGCTGCACAAACTACCCGCAAGTCGAGCTGGGATTTGGGCTGTCCTATGCTGTGTTTATGGTAGCTGCAATGCTCGGGAAGGATCCGTTAGCACCTCTTTTGGATCAGTCTTCGTTAGACCTCTCAGCTGGCGTGTCCAAGGTCCTTGGCGCACCTCTGGCCCAGTCAGCGGCATGCCTATATTTCGCCGGGATAATCTGGACCGTCATCTTTGACACTATTTACGCTCATCAGGACTACACTGATGACCTGAAAGCTGGTGTCAAAGGACTCGCTGTGCGCCTCGGAAGGAAAGGGACGAAACCAGCCTGCTACATAGCAACTGCTGTGCAGGTCTACTTTCTCGTCGCGGCGGGCCAACTGGCAGGGTTTGGCGCATCATACTACGCCATTTCCTGTGGCGTAACTGCTCTCCTGTTGGCCAGGATGATCTGGGTTGTCGATTTGGAAGACAGTAACAGCTGCGCTTGGGCGTTTGGTCCCGGTAGCAGCTATGTTGGCACCGCAATCTTCGCCGGGCTTTTGGCCGAATTCTTTGCGAAGAAGCACGGATATTGACTGATCGGGTTGGGCAGACTGCATGGATTGGATTAGAGACGGGCTGACACTTGAAGGAGGCATCTCGACGTCTGCCTCAATCTAGTGACGGGGCGAGGATTGCATGGCGTTTCCGATAACATAAGTATCAATCATACTATCAGCATCAATTTCAATTCGGTTTAACAAGTTGTTAAATGCACATAATAAAAGGTGGAATATTTCTCACCTGATAATCTCAATACTTGGGCAAATACCATTACCTCGACTCTCCAAGTCTAGACTACGACGTGACGGAATCTCGTCGCATTTCCCTCCTCCTGAACTAATCCCAGAAAAAAAAGTACTGAAAGCATCTCATGCACTTCTCCGTTCGTTATGCAATTTGACTGAAGCTCTCGAGAAGAAAGGGATAATGGCGGCTATCGAGTTCAAGAATCAACATCTCAGTCGAAGCTGGCGGTGACCCTGCTTCTTCTTTTTCGACCTGCTACATTGACAATCTCTCCATGCTCCAGATATGTCGTATCGTAACCTATGCGGATGGTAGGTCCGGACATATCAAACCAGTCATTCCCAGGCTCGAGGGCCGTTTGAATCCATTCTGGATCAGAGGCGAGGCTCTTCAAGCTCTCCAGGTCTTTGACCCAATACTCCAACACGAGATCGCAGTCATTCACCTTCCAGCCAGGCCGCACTTGGCCTGCCTCGACCTGAAACGCCGCGCCGACTTGACTATCCATATTTTGCTTGCCATCAAGTTGTGTCAGCGAGACGCATCCTGTCAAGGTGGTTGTTTTGCAGTCACCTACAACTGCATATTTCAAGACATTGTGCTTCTTCAAAACAGCGACCGCCCGAGGAAGAAATTGGCCAGTGAACCAATGCATGAAGGTCTCTTCGTATACACCATCTTTACGGCGGTGCTCCACTGTGCACTTGATAGGATGGTCTGTCGTCGTCTTTGGAGGACATGAGGTAACCCCGTGCAGGGCCATCCTAACTGAACCCGATTTCAGTGACAGTCAGTCTTCCTTCTCAACTCACTATCGTAGTCCGTGGTGAGCGATCAGGGCAGGGAATCAAAGACGATAGCGGGCAAGGGGCAGAAGAGCCCGGCGGACAGGCGGGGACAGCGGATATGTATGGAAACCCCCATCCGACAAGCAATGAGGCAGACATGACTTGCGCCCCCCTCTTGGCTGGCTGACATTCGAACTACGTTTCTCTGGGGTTATACGGTGGTATTCACCATGGTTTCCGCATCACGAACAATCCCAGCACGAGACTCTCCGCTGTTGAGTGGACAGGTTCATCAATGCATGGACCAACCGACTCAAGATCACTTCTGGATGAATCTGGTCTTTCAGGAGGTGTGGGGTTGTGCCAAGTCGGCCGTATGTTCCGCTTCATAGCCTCGAGCCCCCCACCAGCTCACATCGAAACCCCCCCCCCCCCCCCGCCCATTCTTTATCAATGTATCGTGATGTCCTGATACTTTTTGGCTAACTGGAGGTAGTAAGCTTGAGCCCATTCTACCCTACTGAGGCATACCATCCGCTGCATGTCTTGTGGCACAGGAGATTGTAGGCAAGTTTCACGGTCTGGTCGGCATGTATGCGCACGGCAAGATAAAATCACCGGGATTAGTGACCAGCGGCATCAACACGGCGTCTGTGAGGACAGGCTCTGTATTTACGGGGTGGTTGGGGCGGCTCTAATCTGACAAGGATGACTGCATACAATAATCACCCCTCGGCACATCACCCGGCGTCGAAAGGCAGACTCGAGCCGCTGTCAACTGTCATCCTGCAGGGCCCACGCCTCCATGCTCCCGCATTGTGTCCCGCCGCAGGTCAGATTATGCGAGATCCCGCCCGGCCAGGCAGTACACGCCTAACCCTGGATGGAGAGGCGTAGTCGGAATCCCCCCCTCCCCACACACACAACAGAATAGAAGAATTACAGTGGTGGAAATCACTGGCCGACTGCCAACAGCAATGAAACGTCGACATATTCATAGACCTGCTCCTTTCGAGGAATCTGTGTTGCACTGCATAACACGAACCAGCGCATGTTGCCCTGGGGCAACCACTACCTCCTTCAGGACCAAACAAGCAAGCTGTCGCATTCGCCACATCGCCTCACACCTCAAACAAGGTCTTCCGTGTTTCCCTTGATGCTTGCCTCCAAGCTTGTCCATCCCTCCCTGCCCATGTCGCGCAATAAAGCCTCAGCTCGCTTGCGGGGCACAATCTCGGTCAAATCCTCCTCAGCCCGGAAGTTGTCGGGAAAGCTGCGGCTTGGATAGAGCTTGCGGAGAACGGCCAGAACTTTGTCCCCGTTGACGGGCTCAGCGAAGGCGAACACACGCTCGGACTGGACATCGGGATGAAGGGCGGCAGCGCAGTGCAGCAGGGCGTCGTCCTGCACATCGACAAAGTACTCTAGCGTTTGCGAGTTAGCACATGTCATTCTTCGCCTCTTTTGTGGTGCACACTGGTGGAACCTACGAGCCGTGATCCCACCTAGGTAGGTGGTATTTCCTTTGAAGAGCTCTGCTACGATGGCCGAAGTGGAAGGGTGACCCTGGTTGACAGAGTCGAGGCTCGCGCCAAAGTTGATGTTAGGCAGAACGGCGTTCAGGGTGAAACCAGGCTTCTTCTCGTTCATGAACTTCCAAGCTTCCCGTTCGGACAAGGCCTTACTCGCGGCGTAGACGGGCAGCCCGCGCTGCGGCTCATAGGGCGGGTCGCGATACGCCAGCTCCACAGCCTCGTCGTTCCATGTACCGGTGGTGACCTTCAAGGGGTTGTTAGGCCTGGGGATCAAAGCGGCAGTGGAGGAAGATGTGAGGACGAAGCGCTTCACGCTTGGCTCCCGCGCGGCTGCTTCCAGTGCATTGACTGTTCCCGAGATCGTCCCCGGGATCACATTGTGAGGATTCGGGTCCATGGTGAAAATGGATGCTGTATGGACGACAGCCGAGACGCCCTTGACAGCTTGGTAAAAAGCACCCTGCGCGCTCATGTCCGGCACAGCCACCAACTCAAATTTTCCTGGGCCGTACTTTTTGCTGAAGAGAGCGCTGACCCAGGCGTGCTTCTCGGGGTTACGTGTTGTACCGCGGACCTTGTAGCCGAGCCTGAGAAACTGGTCGGCGATGTTAGATCCAATGAAGCCATTGGCACCCGTGACAAGCACGATAGAGCCTCCGGGAACGATGAATTGCTCGATGGAGAGAGACATTGTGTTTGCCAGTCACACGCTGTAGAGTAAGGTGGGCGCAGATGAAGGAGATATAAATGGGAGGGAGGGAGATGTTTGGATTAAATATGGACGTGCATGGTGGGTAGGTACGTAGAAACTTACCGACCTATGCAAGATTACTCCTCCAGCAGAAATGGGACATTGCTCATTACATCTAAGCGTTGTACATGAACGGATTATTTGAACACCGCGACAAGGCATATTTTGATCTTCTGGTATCGTGTTGAAACCGGTGACTGCGGTTCAGGGGAAGGATTGTTTGAACGTCCAAGCCAATGTTCACTCAAGATTTGTATAGAACAGGGATTCATATTTTGTACGACAGAATGCTGACCGGAATATGCCAGCGATTCATTCAATTTGGTATGGTATCTGCCAAGCTAGCAACGCTCATGACAACGGACTGAACCCCTTACGAATTTCTGGTGTACTCAGGGTACGATTTCTCATAGCTGAGATTCACAGAGCGTCAGCAAACTCAGGCGAGCGCCTGAATGATTCATGCGAGGGTTCGTGGGGATTGACCAGATGCTTACCCTAACACAGTCTCTGCGAACAAGGCAAGCCCGCAGTGTACCCAAATAAGCAACCAAACCGGCATCCAATTCAGGAATGGCGGGCACAGAAGGGAGGATGCGTGCTCAGTGAAGAGAATAATCTGCAAGACGGACGGCTTCAGACCTGCCTTGAGGCAGTCATCGACGTACCCAGAAAGGTTGCGGAGGAAGTTCACGTCAAGAATGTGGTCAGTATCCTTGCAGGGATCCAGCCAGACAGAGAAGACGAGAGTTTCCGTGGCTGATTTATGAGACCAGAATCGATGTCTTCAGGCCCAAAAGCGCTGTTCGTTAGTTGAGGCGGCCCTCGAAGCAAGCATGTGGAACGCCTGGTCCTTTGGGAGGCAACTCACCGCGTGCCGGCGGGAATGTGAAAGACTCCGTCATCCTTGGTGACGGCGTATTCCACCCCATTCTTGACCGCCCCCAACACGCCTTGTTCGACCTTGAAGTGTTCATCCTGTAAGCGATGGATGTGTCTACCATTCGTGCTGATCAGGATCGCTTCTTGACTGTCAAGACCAGATGCTTCTCACTTACAGTGGGGGTCCAGTCAGTCCGGCTCGAACGAGTGGGTTTTCTATGTAATGCGTCTCTCTGACGTACCAAAGGCCGTCAGGTTTTGAGAGAGGTTCGTATAGCGCAGCGTCACCGAGATGCTTGAAGGCCGGCTGAGAGTTGTTTCTGCTGCGATGCTGCGGTCGCGGCGAGAGCCAAAGTTGCCACGCTCGCACCATTTTGCATATGATCAAAAGAGATGACAACGGAGCAAAGGCTACGAAAATCAGCTGGAGAACCGAGGAGGGTTCATTCTAGCTAATCGCATCATCAGGGGGGTTCTGTGTGCGGCTTTTCTAGCGCTCTGCTTCACCTCTTCGTCTCATGTGCCTTTGACGTGCTCATTCGTACCTCGCAATAGATGTCCCCGGAAATATCACCCCGAGCTGCCTGGCCGTCTGACGTGCATCTCGGGAGGGCTGCCAAGACGCTGAGATATGCCACGTTAAGTGCGCAGTACCCCCCCTGACTGCTATTATATTGATCCTGTGGCATTCTTGCCTTCCTACGCTTTGCCGACACGAACCACATAATCACACAAAGTTGCCACACATTCTGGTTTACCCGCCGAATGCTTGCGTTGGCTGCTCATGCATGTCATGTTGGTGATACTCCCTTTCAATCTTACCTGCCTAATCACGCATAGGCACACCCACTCACGCATCTATCTACCCCAAAACATATTGAAGAGTCGCCCAGGGACACGGCCATGCACCCCGCTTCCTCCCTGCCTTCCGGCCGATCAATCCTCCAAATGTCTTCTTCACACCACCAACATGAAAGACCTGTGTGCAGATTGGAGCAAGGCACGAGAGCGGGAGAGCCCAGCCCATCACCTCGTTCAATGTCGGACCAACGTGCTTCGGATGTACGCCTAATCTCTCAAAATGCAATGCAACGCCGAATTTTTGGAAGAAGCAAGTTCGTAGATATAATGTCGACGCCACAAGCTTCTATCCTCGCTTGTTCCCGTGGCTCTTCACATCTCTGATTTGCTCATCAACGACTGCTGCCCCTGACCATGGGGGAATTGCAGACAGCAACAGCCCCTACCAGGAATCACGCATGCCAAGGTAAGGTAGGCGTAGGACCTATGAAGAAAGCATGAAGACCGCTAACCTGGTCAGGTCGTACCACCAGCTGCGATCGTGCCAAGGAGAGGAAAGCCTGCACGAACTGCTCTCGATCCAGACGGAAATGCCCAGGGTGTGGCCTCAGGTTGTCCTGGCCGCGCCCTAACGATCTCCGACGTGCCGTCGTCTCCAAGTCGTCTCTGCCATCCAGGCCGCCTGGTACCCCGAGCCTGATCTCCGACGCGCGGTTTGTGCACACGTCGAATTGGGACATCGAGTTGCATCACAGCCTGACGAGCTCTGTTCCGGTACGCAATAAACTGCCCTCGCTCAGCGTCCCGATGTTCTGGAACCCATCTAAACTGGGAGCCCTTGACCGCGACCTGCTTGAATACTGTATGTTTGTAAATCAAGGATAGCCACCAACCAGCCTGGTGGTCAAGGGGAGGCAGAGCTGACGGCTTCGTGTATCATTCACGTGTACAGTTTGCTGTGTAGCCTCTTTGTCCCTTGCTACCTTTGGCTGCAACAACGCCGCTCTCGGGTGTGCCCTGGTCCGGGTTGCGCTGCAGGGGCAGACGATCACGGCTGCGCCGGTGCTCCAAGCGTTGATGGCCTTTGCTTCGCTTCATCGCTACGGCCTGCAGTCCCAAGCTCTGGAGCTGAAAGTCGCTGCGCTGGGAAGTCTGGCTCAAGAACCAAGGGCGCCGAGTCTGGGCGTGGAGGCGACCCTGCAGCATGCCGCCACGGGCATGCTGCTTTGTTCGTTCGAGATGCACCAGTCGTCTTCTACTTCGGGCCACTGGCCCTTCTACCTCGGAGGTGTCAAGGCGGTCTTTGGCGCGTGCTCTACCAAGACGCTGCATCAACTTGGCTCCGATGTGGCCGTCCTGCTGGACTGGGTACACTACCACGACGTTCTCGCTCGTTTTTCCCTACTGCACTGGACGAAAGGTGGTTCCTCGGACCTGCCGCCGGCTCCAACCGACTTCTTCTGTCCACAGGTACGTGCTAGGACTGAGACTCCACGACGGCACGCAGAGTCAGCCTAACATCCGGGCTCTCCAGGTATCTAAGCTGCCGCCGCCCATATTCTGTATGCTGAATCTGCTGTCCCAAGTATGCGATGCGGTATCTAGCAGCGCAATCCCGCTAAACACCAGCGGCGGCGTGGGTGACTACAAGAGCTTCCTGGAAGTCCTGGACTGGAGGATTAGAAGCCTATCAATACCGCAAGTCCCGGATGATGACAGTCGTGCCTCGGATGACACCACGTTGGTCATGCAACTATACCAACTCGCGATACTGTTGTTTCTCGACCGATGTTTCGAGGACCTGATCGACCAACCAGTCAGGACGCAACAGAATATCGACAAGGCATTCGCTATCCTCCCCCAGCTCAGTTTCTGCAAGCAGCAATTTCCGATTCACGTCATTGGCTGCGAGGCACGAACGGATGAGCAGCGGGCCGCCGTCCTCGACGTCATCTCCAGGACAGAGAAGATGAGCTCGTCGCGGTCTTTGAACTATTGCAAGAGAATATTGCAGGCTGTCTGGGCGCAAGACGACCTCGTCAATGGATGCAACATTGGCTACCGCGAAAAGCTGTCTTCGGTAATAAGTCATTGTTCGATGATTCCCAGCTTTGTATAAGTATGGTCGTAGAACGGAACCAGCACGGCGGCGGCTTGAGTGTACAGGCATGAATGGATACTTCGCGCACACCCTGTACCATGTATGACCTGTCCCGCGCGTACTCGGAGTGCATGAGCGGGGAAGGGCCTTTTTGCGGAGAGTCAGCAAGGTCCTGGTCACAGGATAGTCAATACACTTCTTTTAGGCCAAGGATGTGGCCCCCCCGCGCCCCAAGCCAGGGTCGCTGATGATATGGAATTCCTTCCGTAACGTCTGACCATGCATGGCCAGTACCTCCGGGTAACACTCCAGCAGCCGATTCAGCAGCCGAGTTGAGCAAGTGACGGGAATACACGGCTCCTTCATCCTGGTAGTTTGCTGCAGATAGTCTAACGTGAGCTGGATAATGTAAAAGCTGCCAGCACCCGGCCTCGCTCCAGGGATCCTAGGGGGTAATGAGAACCCATCATCTTTCATCTTCAACATGACAGATCCATGCAACTATCGGCCTCAGCTCTCGGTCCTCATTGTGGGCTGTGGTCTTTGTGGCCTGGCTTCCGCATTGGCTCTTGCTCAGGCCGGTCACCGTGTGACGGTATTTGAGCGAAGTGCTCAGCTTCAAGAAGTAGCTTGACGCTTTCTGAAATCCAGATGTACATGTCTTCTGACACGGCTTGACAGATTGGTGCCGGGATACAGTTATCCCCCAATGCGACGCGTCTGCTTCAGCGCTGGGGTGTCTTCGAGGAGGTCCTTCAATATGCAGCCCAACCAGAGGCCGGGACATTCCGCTCCTATCGAGGAGACATGCTCTCACAGTCGCTGCCTGTATCTCATCCGACACTGGTCCGTGAGGAGGCCCCTTACATCGTGATTCACCGTGCCGACCTCCTGAGAGCCTTGCTGTCGGGGATGGAGCGACATGGCATAACTCTCAAACTGAGCAGCGAAGTCAAGGAGATCAATTTCCACAAGCCGTCCATACGCCTTTCCAATGACGAGGTCTACGAGGCGGATCTGATCCTGGGTGCGGACGGGGAGAGGTCCCGCTGCAGGGGCATCCTGCTGGGTCGTGAGGACCCTCCTCACAGTCCTGGCGACGTCGTGTACCGGATTTCCGTCCCTACCAAGAACATAGCGGAGGGCCATGCCGCTTGGGACCTGAAAAGAAGATGCAGCGTCAACTTCTGGATGGGACCAGGTGGTCACGTCGTCTCGTACCTCATTCAGCACGATATACTCAACCTGGTTCTGGTGTACACCGAGGGTGCAGGCGGCAAGGTCATGTACGGGCCGCAGCGAGCAGACCTAGACGAGTTCAGGAGCAAGATCGTCAACTGGGACCCCGTGCTTCATGAGCTCATCAACGTTCCAGGATCTGTCTGCACCAAGTGGACTCTGTTCCAGATCCATGAAGTGATCCAGTGGCGCCATGAGAGTGGACGATTCGTGCTGATTGGTGACGCCGCTCACGCGATATTGCCGTGCTTGTGAGTAGCGAAGGATTGCAATCTCCTCAACAAAGCTGATGATCCCCTGTTTAGAGCGCAGGGCGCTGCGCAGGCTTTTGAAGATGCAGGCGTCCTGGGAGCGATATTCAGCCAGCCGGTGGGCCGTGACCAGATTCCCGACGCTCTCCGGGTGTTCGAGGAGGTCCGCAAACCACGAGCCTCAGATGTCCGACATTGCACATTGGAACAGAAGGCCATGTTTGCTCTTTCGGATGGCCCAGGCCAGGAGGAGCGCGATGCGGGACTTCGCGCGGGTGCGGACCATGGGCTGTTCAGGTGGCTCTGGGAGTATGATGCCGCCGAAAGCGGTAGAGAGGCGTGGGAAGCATTCTTGAACAAGGCCCGCGAAGACGGGATCGAGCCTCGCCATGATAACTAGGGCAGAACATGGAAACACGAGCACACCCCCAAATGGGAAGGCTTTTTAGAGCATGGCACCGGCCAGCCAGTCCTGAATGCCGAGCTATGCGCAAAGCAACAAGCCATCGTAGAAGGACAATGGCCGTAAACAAGTGGCATGTACCCACTGCGCCATTTCACGTTCAACAGCTGGTCCTCTGTGGTATTCTGACATGACTGACATGTCTAGTCTGTTTGTCTGACAAGGCACACGCTCCCCCACCTACCCTTGCCGTCATACAGAGAACGCGCAGAGTAGATCTAGCGAATCCGTTAGCTCCGATGGGGATTCGGGGTGTTGCCGCCGGGGAGGCTGTTGTATCTACCTTGCTGACAAGTCCACGCGGCGGAAGACCCTGGCATCCTTCCGCAAGGGGTTGGCATCACTATCAGTGCATGGGCGGCGACCCTCCAAAGCAACTCGGCTTGTGCCGCAATCCACATGCGGCGTAGGTGGGAGTGGGTGGGTTGAAGACGAAACGAGCGTCCAAATGCATACACGGTTGGTCAACTAGAACTAGGATGGACCACGGAGGTGGCTGAGCAGCTCACACATCTGCCGCCCGTCGGACAAGAGGCCACGCGGTCGTCATCTCACGCAGACAAGGGTCTGTCTGATTGATATTCTGCCGCCTGTCTCTGCGCCCGCCTTGCCACTACACACCGTCAACCCCGGCGGCTGCTTGCTTGCTGTAAGGAGTCTGTCACTGTGGTCATGCCGTTGTCTCTCCAGTGCAACTGAGAAGTTTATCCTTGTGTGTCTACCTTGTACGTATACGATAACCACTGCGTGCTCTCGATCTTCACGTGCCGATATCCGTTGATACCTGTGGATTCGTAGCATGGCAGGCCGGCGTGTTTATACGTGATTTCCATTCGTGGCTCGCTGCTCCTCCGCCTCTCGGAGGATCTCTAGAACGACGGCATACAGTCGTCCCGACCTGATGGACTCGTAGATCCGCGTGTTGTAGAGCCCGATGCTCGGCGTGACCCCCTCCGGCGTCACAGCCTCCGTCGACGCCAGGTGCGCTTCGCCCAGGAAGGGGACACCGAGATCCTTCCGGACGAAGCGGTACATGCGCCGCGAGGCCTGGCCGATGTAGGGCGCCGCGTCGGGCGGCACAGCGTCGTCGTGCCGCCCCTCGATCTCGATGGTGCGCAGGTCGAGGGCCTGGCACAGCGCCAGGAGGTGCGCCGCCGCCATCTGGGACAGCACGTCGACGGCCTCGAGCGTGTACCGGGCCGACACGAGCGCCAGGGAGTTGAGGGACTGGTTGCCCATCTCGGCCGTCTGGACGTGCGAGCCGACGGGGTTGGCCAGGAAGCCCAGCTCCGAGGCGAGGGCGGCGACGACGACGTCGAGCCCCTTGAACAGGAACGAGGCGCCGGCGTCGTCGTCGGAGCACAGGTTCGGCGGCAGGCCCCAGCTCGTGGCCGGGTTGATCATCTCGGTGCACTGGGCGAAGAGCATGCGGCCGAGGCCCTGCAGGCCCTGGCGCAGCTTCTCGACCGCCGACGTGACGGCGCGGGCCTGGAAGTTGCCGCCGTGGAGCACGCGGCCGGCCGCCGCGTCGACCAGCGGGTTGTCCGTCACCGAGTTGATCTCGACCGTCAGCTGGTCGTACGCCAGGCCAAAGTCCTCGAGCACGGGGCCGATCCACTGGCTCGCCGTCCGCAGCGAGTAGCGGTCCTGGCGCAGCGTCGCCACGTCGCGGCCGTCGTGCCGGTTGAGCAGCCGCGACCCGGCCAGGAAGGCCTTGATGTTCCGCGCGCTGTCCGCCTGCCCGGGGTGCGGCCGCACCCTTGCGATGAAGGGCTCGAAGCTCTCGTCGCTGCCGCGCAGCGCCTCGACGCTCATGGCCGTCAGCACCTGCGACAGGGCCGCGAGGTGGAGGGACTCGTGGGCCGCGAGAGCAGCCACCCCGGCCGACACGGCCGTGCCGTTGACGATGGCGAGGCCCTCCTTGGCGAGCAGGCCGATGGGTGCGATGCCGGCCTCCGACAGCGCGGCGTCGGCCCTCGTCACTCTTCTGGCCCCCTCGACATCGCGCCGGCCGCTGAAGGCCGTGGCGGACGTCTTGCCCTGCATCACCGCGCAGATCCACGCCAGCGCGCTGAGGTCCCCCGAGGCCGAGATGCTCCCGCGGACGGGGATGCGCGGCACGATGTCCGCGTTCAGGAGCTCCACCAGAGACTCGGCAATGTCGACCCGGATGCCCGACGCGCCGCCGGCCAGGGAGTTCAGGCGGATAAGCATAGATGCCCTCGCCCACGACTCGGGCATGCAGGTAGCCGCGAGGGCGTCGTTCAGGGGAAGCGGGCTCGGCGTCGACGCTCGTTGCTGTTTCTGCGCAAGCTGCCCGTTCGATTTCTCACAGCCATTGCCGGCATGGGCCTCGCTGTTGCTTCCGCCTGCAAGTCCATTACTGCTGGCCAGGGCCATCTCCTCCCTTTTGCCGTCTGCAACGATGCCGCACGTCAGGTGGCTGATCAGGCTTTGCTGGACCCCCTCGACGTCGTCGGACCGTACATCGGCAGTGCCGCCGAACCCCGTGTTGACGCCGTAGATGATCTCGCCCTGGGCGAGCTTCTCCGGTATGATTTTGCTGCCCGCTTCGATGGCGGCGATGGACGCCGGGATGAGCTCCACGCGTGCCAGGTGCCTCGATACTTCCACGACGTCGGCGATGGTCAGGTCCCCTCCGCCGACTTCCAGCGTAGCCTTGGACGATGACGAGGCATGGCGCCAATGCGATAGGAGTAAATCCGTAAACATGCGTGGTGGAGCGACCATCTTGTTCCAGAAGAGAGGGAAAAGACACAGTTCGGCAGCAACAATAGTCAAAGGTGAGAGGAAGAGCGTCGATCAGTACTCATGACTTCCTCCCATCTGAAGACAGCACTTTGTGGTTCTTATGGAAAAGCTTGACTTACAAGAAGGAACGGGAGAACACGTCCCCACGCAACGTCGTTGAGCATAAGGTACCCAGGCAACTCTATCAGCCATGCTAGGATTCCAGAACTCCTACCATACCCCATGCTACAACTGGCGAATGCTGCGGCGAGGATGTACAAGACCATCTCGAGACGTACCCATCTGGCATGCATCGCCCGCGCACGATCCGAGCATGGGGGTTTCCTGTAGATGCAGGTCTCATTAGCCACTTGCAGGAAACATGACAAGTCTACAACCGCCATGTCCTAGGGCTATTCGGCCGGGTCACACGGAATTTTGGCCATCTCGAAAGGGCTGGACGGCCTGCACCAGCCCGGCGGAGTATGCAGGTGGGACAAATCTCGCACGGCAGGGCAACTATGAGTCTCAGTTCTCACAAGCATCTTTCTGTGATCATCCTCGATGCGTGGACTCGCGGAGCAGACGGACCCGAGCGGATGAGCAAGGCCAGCCCCGACTCATCAGGCCGGGCGAGGTCGGCTGGCTTGGGAAGACAATCTTTGCCGGCCATTTCTTCCGGGCAATGATCAATGCACAGAGACCAATACTTACCTCGGATCCTCCTTGGCGTACCACATGCATAAGACGGGGAATCCCAGTTATTGCCCCGAAGTGCGTGTCCCAGCTCACTTGCATGATGTAGTAGTAACGGCCACATCCCCGCAGATTAAGCTTTCACACTGAACAGGGCGATGCTGGTTCACCGGTTGGAGGGAACCCCCTCTCCCCTCTCCCCTCACCCCCAAACCTGGACGATACTCATGGTGTGGGAAACCCTCCGAAAGAGTTTCTCTCCTTCTCAATACCTCAAAAGAACCAGAATCACTGATGCCGTCGTCTCATTCAACTGTGGTGACTGCCAGCATGTATACCGTCGAAACCTCGTACTACCCTTATCTGGGTCTCCTTCTCCTCCTGTGCAGCAGCTGCGCAGCGCTTGCTCAGTTCTTGAGACCGACCGACTTGAAATGGTCACTCGGCGCGAGAAGACTGGCCATGCCGCCGGGACCGCCGGGCGTTCCGGTGCTGGGAAACTTGCCACAGATGATGAGAGCGCGTCGCGGCGCCCTTTCGTTCAACAAGTGGGTGAGTCTCGAACCATTTCTTGCCCGCCAGCAGAACGCGCGCCTTGGAACTAAACGCGCCGGCAGCTGGCGTCCCTGATCCCGTACGGCGACATGGTGACGCTGCACATGGGCTCCAGGACGTGGGTGGTGCTCAACTCGGACCGCGTCGTGTCGGAGATCATAGCCAAGAGAGGCAAGATCACCAACGAGAGACCGCACATGCCCGTCGCCAGCGATCTCGTGAGCAACGGGAAGCGCACGGTGATCCGGCAGGAGGAAGACTGGCGCGAGGGGCGCCGCGTGATGCACCAGCTGCTCAGCGGCTCGAACCTCAAGGTCTACGCCGGCATGCAGGAGCTCGAGAGCGTGGACCTGCTGCGGCGGTACCTTCGGGAGCCCGACATGTGGTTCGCGCACAACTACCGCTACGCCACCTCGGTGCTGTACAGGGTCGTCATGGGCTACCCGCTGAACAAGACGAGAGCGCAGCTCGACGACTACCAGCGGGTGACGATGGAGTTCGTCACGGCCATCAACCGGAGCTACGTTGACTTCTTCCCCATGTTCAGCAGGCTGCCGGCGTTCCTGCAGCCGTGGCGGCGTTCGTGGGCGCGCATGGGCGCGTTCCACCGCAGCGTCTTCCAGGCCTGGTGGGACCCCGTCAGGACGGCCGTGGTCGACGGCGCGGCGCCGCCCTCGTTCGTGCGCGACGTGCTCCTCCATCCCGAGGTCCGGTTCGCCGGGGACGACGAGGAGGCCATGTACCTGGCGACGTCGGTCATGGCGGCGGGCGGCGACAACACGCGCATGCCCATTTTGTGTCGTGCGGCATGGCCATGGTCACGCGCTCCGAGGCCCAGGCACGGGCGCGCGAGGAGATCGAGCGCGTCTGCAACGACGGCGCCTCGCTGCGGCTCCCCCAGATGTCGGACCTGCCGGCCATGCCCTACGTGGCCGCCATGATCAAGGAGGTCCTGCGCTGGCGGCCGACCGTGCCCGTCGTCCCACCCCACCAACTGACCGAGGACCTGGCGTTCGACGGCTACGTGATCCCCGCCGGCACGTGCTTCTTGATCAACTCGATCGGGCTCTCGCGCGAGTTCGACGACGCCCACGAGTTCCGGCCCGAGCGATGGATCGACAGCGAAGGCGCCGGCAAGATACCCAACTTCTGGGGGTTCGGGGGCGGCCGTCGGATCTGTGTCGGCTGGAAGGTGGCAGAGCAAGCTCTCTTTGTTGCCTTTTCGCGTCTGCTCTATTGCTTTGAATTACGTCCGGTTCGTTGACGTTTGCCCGTCTCTTGCTTGTCTTTGTTCGCTTCTGGATCAAGAGTTTGCTGACCTGTGAGGTGTCCAGAATGGGCCCATCGACGACGAGATACTCAACCACCAAGCCCTCCATGAGCCGTTCCCCGTGAAGGCCGTGGTTCGCAGTGCCGCGCACTCGTCGCTCATCGAGGAGGAGGCATCCAAGTACGAGTCTTCCTTCTCCACGTTCGGGGCCAAATGAACCCGTGAGCGCGACGCGGCAACCCACGTCAGCGGGTGTAGCGAGAGAAGGGACGAGAAGAGAGCATGGCAAGAATCCCGGCTCTCGTGATTTCGTGGGAGATCATTTCAGATCAATGGTTCAGGGACAGCATTGGAGCGGCGGGAGCTGCGATGTGACTCTGCCTGTGAAGACCACTGTGAGGCTCAATGTCGAAGTCCAGAGAGGAGTAGGCAGCCACCGTGTTTACGCAATTAACCGAAGTCGTTGACGCACACCGTCTCAAAGACCGTTTTCATAGACGGGAAACGTGACATGCACAAAAACTTCGCCAGCGACGTAGACGGAGCTGTGGCTGAGGAACGGAGGCAAGAGCCAAGAGCGAAGAGCCGAGCCCCGCATCGCACAGCAGGCCGTCTCCCCTCCTTCCGCCATGCCTATGGCCTATGGCCTTACACAGACTTTGTCCCCTAAAAAACCTGAAACATCGCTGTACATAGGCGTCTTTTGCGCGGCCCCTCTGGCGCTCCCACCCGTCCATCTCCACTCCTGGCCCTGAACCCCCTCCCCATGTTCACTGCACATCCGATCCATATAACCCTGACGCTGGGAGGGCCCTGTTCCAAGTATCGCGAGGTCATGGCAGAGGACATGCTGAGGCGCAGCCTCCCTAGCCATGCTGTTTTTGGCCCTCAGATCTTTCTCTTTCGGGTGTCCATATAACGACTTCAGTCTTATCAGCAACATCCACGCCTATATGTATATCCAAGGAGGGGGGGTCCAGTGCTTTGTGTGCCTCTAGCACGACCGCACCTTTGACTTGAACGTCTGTTTCCTGGAGCAGAAATGCCCGTGTCCGATGGATGGGCAGGTAACCTCTCACCGCATCCATAATGCGTTGTGTGTTTCGACAAAGATCCGTCAGCGATGCTGCAGACGATACGAGCCGATGTGACTACAGTGTGAGGCGAAAGTTTCTTAGTCTCAAGGCGTAGAAATAAACGCTTCTGCTGCAGTCATTGCCCAGTAGCAGACCCCCTTCTCGGCTGCCAGCGCGAGGGCGCGACGTCCCAGTGCCGGTCTCTGCCTCGACGTCGAGCGTCGGTGCTGGTCCAGACACCTTCTCGGAAGAGGGTGTTGTTAACTCAGACCCTCTACCTCACATCACGAGCTACGTTGACGTGTACATTGTCGCAAGGCGAAACTGTTTCACGATTCCAATAAGCGGGTTGAATGAGGTTTATACCCTTGTTTGTACTGACGTTTCATCATATATATCTACATGAATGCTGTGCCTAACGCCTTTTTGAACCTCAAACGCCTCATAATTCATCAGAAAGAAATAAAAGACCACTTTTCTTCCCCTCGAGTCACATCTCGAGTCGCCTAGTTGTAAAGGTCCTCGTCGTCCCGGACGACCTCCTCAATGGCATCCTCCATGTCTTCGTCATCCTCCTCCGAGGGAAGCTCGCTGTCCTGGTGGTTCGGCAGCACGACAATCTTGTCGTTGATAAGCTCGACCCTCGCGTTCTCGCCGTCGCGGATCTGGCCCCGCAGGATGAGGATCGCGAGACGGTTGAGCACCTCCTTCTCGATGAGGCGCGATAGGGGTCGCGCGCCGTAGGCGGGCGAGTAGCCCGCCGCGCCGAGGTAGTCCTTGGCCTCCTCCGACACGTCGATGAAGACCTTGCGGTCGTTGTCGGCCAGACGCTTCTGGATCTCGCCGATGCGAATGTCGACAATGTTGCGGATCTCGCGGCGCGTGAGACGGTTGAAGATGACGGTCGAGTTGATGCGGTTGAGGAATTCGGGGAGGAACCAGCCACGAAGCGCGTTCATGACCTTCTCGCGCGTCGCCGCGTCGACCCTGCCGTCGGGTGACGTAGATTGTGTGAGGTACTCGGCACCCAGGTTGGAGGTCATGACGACAATGCAGTTCTTGGCGTCGACAACACGGCCTTGTCCGTCGGTGATGCGGCCGTCGTCCATAAGCTGAAGCAGGACCGTCAGGACCTCCTTGGCAGCCTTTTCGACCTCGTCGAACAGCAGAATCGAGAAGGGCTTGCGGCGGAGAGCCTCTGTCAGCTGTCCTCCGGCATCGTGACCAACGTATCCTGGTGGCGCGCCAATCATTCGGCTCAGCGCGTGTCGCTCTTGGTATTCAGACATGTCGAACCGGATCATCGACTTGGGGTCGTCGAACAGGAACTCGGCAAGCGCCTTGGTGAGCAGCGTCTTACCAGTTCCCGAAGGACCGCAGAACAGGAAGCTTGGCGGCTGGTTGGGGTTGGCGAGACCAGACCGCTGGAGTCGGATGGCGTTGGAGACGGACTTGACAGCCTCCTTCTGGCCAACGACAATCTTGCCGAGGACCTTCTCCATGTGGAGCAACTTGTCCTTTTCTGTGGTCTTGAGGCGCGTGACGGGAATGCCCGTCCATCGAGCGACAATTTCGTTGATGTGGTCGACAGACACGATGTCCGTAACCATCGAGCCAGTGTCTTGGCCAGTAGCGCTCAAGGCGGCGTCGGCTGCGGCCTTCTTCGCCTCGAGCTCCTTGATCGCAGCGAGCTGTTCGGGGATGGCGCCGTACTTGATGTCGGCGGCCTTGGCGTGGTCGCCGTCGTTGGTTGCGATCTCCAGACGCTTCTGGAGCTCGTCGAGCTTGGACTTGGCCAGGTGGATTTCTTCGCCGCGCTTGATCTCGCTGAGGTACTTCTGGCGAAGAGGCTCCAGCTCCTCCTCGACATTTCTGGCATCCTTCTTCGCCTGAGCGAGGCGAGTCTGGGACGCCTCGTCCTTTTCCTTCTCGAGGGCCGCGATCTCAATCATGATCTGGCGAAGCTTGCGCTCCAGCGAATCGATAATCTCGGGCTGCGACTCGCGGGCAACACGAACGGCGGCGGACGCTTCATCCACCAGGTCAATGGCCGAATCAGGCAGTCGGCGAGAAGTGAGGTAGCGGCCCGCCAGGTTGGCGGCGGCCACAAGGGCGCTGTCGAGAATGGTGACGCGGTGGTGGCGGTCGTACCGCTCCTTGAGACCTCGAAGGATGGAGATGGTCTCGGCAATGGTGGGTTCCTTGACGAGAACCTGTTGGAAACGTCGCTCGAAGGCGGCGTCCTTCTCCACATATTTCCTATACTCGGCGAGTGTGGTAGCACCGATGCAGTGCAGCTGGCCACGGGCCAGCATGGGCTTCAGAAGGTTGGCGGCATCCATGCCACCCTCACCGGACGATCCTGCGCCCATGAGCAAGTGGATTTCGTCAACAAAGAGAACGATCATCTCCTTGGAGTCCTCAATCTCTTTCAGGACACCCTTCATCCTCTCCTCGAACTCTCCGCGGTATTTGCTGCCAGCCACCAGGGCACCCACGTCGAGCGACAGCAGCTTGCAGTGCTTCAGGTTGTCAGGAACGTCGCGGTTGACGATGCGCTGGGCGAGGCCCTCAATGACGGTCGTCTTGCCGACACCGGGCTCGCCGATCAGCACGGGGTTGTTCTTGGTTCTCCGGGACAGGATGCGGACGACTCGGCGAATCTCCTCCTCTCGACCAATGACGGGGTCCATGTTGCTGTCGCGGGCCATGGCCGTCATGTCGATGGTGAACTTGGCGAGGTTCTCGTGTTCCTCCTCCGTGTCTGCATTCTTGTTGTCCACCCTCTTGGTGCCTCGAATCTGTTGAACGGCGTCCTGCACCAGTTTCGGCTTCGGGATGTTTGCCTCGCGGAGGGCGGTCTGGATGTTGTGGTCCTCGGCGAGTGCGGTGATGAGGTGGTCGATGGCGATGAAGCTGTCTCTCTGTACCTTCTGCAGCTCCTGGGCCTTGCGGAGGACAGCGTGGAAACCGGGAGCCACGGAAACCTGGTCAGGAGGGGGGTCCTGGCTGGGCAGTCGGACGAGTGACTTCTTCAACGCGCGGTCAAAGAGTTGAGGGTCGCCGTGCGCCCTCTCGACGACCTGCCTGAACATGGACGCCGAAGGCGCAGGACCATTCTGCTGATCCTTACTCTGGTCTGCGGGGGGGTCGAGGAGAGAGACGGCCAGGTGAACTGGCAATAGCTGGGAGTGGGCATACTGTTCAGCAAGGGCCATGGCATCCTGAACAGCCTTCTCGGCCCGGTCGGTGAACTCCATGCGGGAATTCATCTTGTCGTAGGTGTGTGATGTGTGTATGTAGCGAAGGTGTATGTGTGGTTTCGAGATTTGTAGTCGTGAGTATGCGGAATGTGCGTCGCTTCGAAGCTCAGTAATGATGAGTCTTCTACTCGTAGAGGGGTATCATTAGTTGGATTACTTTGCTCTTGGGGGAGAAAGCGTAAGAGAGTCCTCGAGGTCGAGTGCTTTTATGCAGCAGTCAGGCGGGATTCAGACTACTCGACCAGGTTGGAAGTGGGCCAAGCCAGATGTAGCCTGATGCTTCCAGCAACTGCCAGTTGTCGTAGGGCAGCGACGGGAGCGCACTGGAAAGGCCTCGACGTCACTAGAAGCGGCCCGAAGCTACTGGGTGGTTCGACCAACCAGGGACCGCGGGGGTGAAGCTGATCGTCATGCTGAGCTAATCGATACGTGAAGCACCGCAGAGGTGAAGGGGCCAGGCCTGTGGCTCGTTCGCAAAGTCACATGACTATCCAGCCACAGTTTCAATGCACGCGCCCCCCGGCGCTGGAGCTCTGGGATTTTTCTGTTCGCGCAGCCAAACGCCATTGAGTATTGAGCCAGATCAGGGGACTGACTGCCTTTCACGATCCACGGTGGCCCCCATCCCGCACTACGCGCAACCATGAATTCGGCGCCAATCTTCCGCTTCGCCCAGCTCTCCCTGAGCGCGGGCATCCCGCGGACGACAGTACGAAACGGCCACACCTGGTCACGACGCAGGACGGCCAAGCCCGAACTCTCCAACTTCGCCCCCGGTCACGGCGAGCAGATCTGGGTCTGGCACCACCTGACCTCCCATCAGATCATCTACTCGCACACGCCTCAGCTCGACGTGCGTGCTCTCCTTCTAGCCCCCCCAAACGAGAGAACGAGAGAAGGGGGACCCCCCAAAAAGGGCCGGAAACGCTAACGTGCAGAACAAACGCAGTCGAACCACGCCCTCAAACAACTCCCCTTTATCGCGAAAAAGTCGACCCCGGCCAAGCTCCGCAAGGACCTGTGGCGGCCCATGGCCCTCATCCAGTTCCCCGCGGGCGCCGGCACGGCCGGCCAGTCGGCCTTTCAGAAGCTGCGCGAGTACCGGCGGCGCCACGAGCTCGAGTGGGGCGACGAGAAGCTGTTCCGGACCAGGGAGGACGCGGCGACGGGCCGGCTCGTGCGATCGACGCGCACGCGCAAGGAGCGCGGCTTCGCCATCCACGAGCAGCGCGAGACGCCATTGCCGA